TATACTTTATATACTTTAAGCCTAATTATCTTTATAAAAGAGTAGTAATACTTATTTATATACTTTTAAAGTTAGTTATTAGAATATTAACTTTTTAGCTAAAACTAAGATTTTAAGTAATAGTAAGGGTAATAAGTATCTTACTTATATATATTTATTAGTATTCTTTACCTTTATATACTAAAGGCTAAAGCCTCTTTAAACTACCTATAACCTTATTCCTATTAAAGGCTAATAGGTTAGGTAATAATAAGTATGTTTTATATAGCCTTTGTTGAAATATTAAATAATAATTAATATTATTTTTCAGGATTTAATGCTGACTGAGATAACACGAAGGATTGAACAAAAGCTCGCAACAACGTATACGTGCCGTGTCTTCCGTCCGTATAGTTAGACCTTACGCAGGATGTAATGGAGTCTCACCAGTCAGCTAACATGCAGCAACCTTGGACTCTTAAAATTACCGTATATAGCAAGCGAGGTAACATCTAGGAAATTCAAGGGGTCTAAAAGTGTAACTCGCATAACACCTAAGGGAATACGCTTTTCCGTTGGGCATGTAGTACTGGAGTAGATGGCCTATCCATCCCTGTAAGTACCGACATAGGATGCGGACGAGGCAACGGTCATGCCCACCCAGACAACGGTGTAAGCAGGACGGGGAGCAAAAAAGCGAGAGACGTCAGATCTTGTCAACGAGGCAATCGCCGAGAAATGCCCAGAGAAAATTGTTGGTAATAGTTGAGCAGCGTGTTACTGGTCTGCCTCGATCGCTCCAGTGTAATCATCCGTGTCGAGGAATGCACCAAGAAAGAAGGAAAGGATATTATTATCTGCCCACTACCGTGTATTCAAATATTCAAGTTGCATAAAAAACAGAAGAGAGTACATCTATGGTAAAATAGAGCGAGGTACATGACGTATGAAGAGAAGTCTTTTCTTTAGTTACACCCATCTTTGAAGTTTCGTATTGTAGTATCTATAGTTATCGCAGTATTATTTCTTCAATGGGATTATCTAGATCAATAGCCTCGCCAAACATCAACCCGTCGACATAACACCAGCTAACAAGAGTCCATGTCTGCATCAAAGGTGATGTCATTGCTTCAACACCTGTCAATGAGTCAGGTCGCAGTACGAGCGGTACTCGACAGCCCGGGACGGTGCACACAACATCTCCTTCCATGGTAGGTTCTGGACCAATACCGAAGAAACCCCGGCTAGTAGCGAATGCTTTCATTGTGTCAATACGGGGCCTGATTATGCGGTGGTACTTATTGGACTCAATTCTGTGAAGGCCCTTTTGTCGCGAGCTCGATTGTACCCATTGGAGCCACTCGTTAAAGTACCGACGGTGTTCGTCCCATCCTGGCATATCGACTCTTAGTGGGTTGTCGTCGATATCGAGACCCATGATCAGAGACTCAGCTAATCTGTCCATCCACGCTTCCCTGGAAAGGTTGCCTGCTAGCCGTGATCTTAGGGCCAAGACAGATTTGACTGCTGCTCGCTGCTGCCCTACAACCCAAGAAGCGAACGGAGGGCAGATCACGTCTATTGTGTCGACTGGCTTGACGTGGAGTCGAAGCCGACGTGATGATTCAGTATCGATCTTCGGTGATGTTCTCAAGCGTCCGCCTGCATCCCAGCCTGCGCTACCACAAAGAACAAGTGGCTCATCGTAGGCATGGCATCGAAGATCAGGGGCCCAAGTCGGTATACTGGAATCTTGCCGCATATATCCCATCCAGGAAAGAGCTAGAAGATCAAGGGAGTCTCCATTGCAAAGGAGTGCTTCGGCTGTTTCCACGAAGACTTGCTCTTCAGTGATTCTGTAATTCGCTGTCGGTACTGGCCGGTTATCTGCAATACCGTGGAAAGCAAAGACTTTGTCGCAGGTCCTTGTGGCCTGGCAATGATATGCCGCTTGAAGAAGAGTCTCATAGCATATTCCACTTTCTCCCTCAATAACCCTCTTTTGGTATGCTTTTCGTATATCAAGCATTCTGGTTACACACCAGAATCCAAGGATGGCGGGATGATCATCTTGATAGCGACCTAAGCCAATAAATGAGTTCCAAATGGCAGAAACGCCATCTGAAAAGAGGTTCAGATCTACATAGTCCTCACCACAAACCACTTGGACATTCCTCCCGGCAGCAACCTCCTGAATAACCCATACTCTTTGAAACCACGGGCGTTGAAGGAGAAGGAGCATGCTCTCTAGGCCAGATTCATCAGTTTCGTGCCGATAGGCTCCTGAGACCTTACGGTATAAACTCCGAAATCTATCATAAAACGAGCTTGATCTGACCAAAGGTTCTGGCTTAGTCCCAGCGTCCTTTTCTTCGAGCGACATGTAACGGAATGCATTCTTAGTAATATCATCACTGTTGCCCAGCCAAACTAAGACTTCCGTGGAGCGAGAATAAATCTTTCCCATGAGGGGAACTTGAAATTCCTTCTCCGTTGTGTCTTCCTGGTTAATGCAGATGGCGTCGATCCATACAGTGAACTTTGAGGACTTTTTCTTCAGGGAGTTAAAAAGATCGACCAACGTCTGGCTAAGAGGGAGGGAATTGCCATTGTGAAACTTAATCCTCGCTATGTCTGTTGAATTGTCCCAGCAGTAGGAAATAGCGGTGTATTCTGGAGGGTTCTTTAGAGGGACAACCCTAAAGTTGCAGATAGGCTCAGAAGGTTCTCCATTAAAGCTGACGTCCAAGATCCGGATATGATTCCGAGAGAGAGGGCGATATGTGATATTCATAGTGATTTGTATCTATGGGATAACTGCGGCCTATAAGGTTAAGCTTTAGGCTGCAAACACAGATAATGAATGATTTGTATAGAGGCAGAGCAATAAGGATTTAGCCAGAAATCGAAAGCGGGGAGGAAAGGTCTGTGGGGCAAAAGTTAGGATAATCTAAGCCTGTTTTAGAACTCCGAGAGTGGAGTCTCTCTTGGTGTACTCTGTAGTTGTCCCCCAAGGCCAGAATTGGAGACGGAAGAGCTTGTTCCGCGGCTGATAAATGCCCAAGTCCCGTGTCGAAATTCGGAAACTAGCACGGAGATTGGTAGCACCGATCAGATGCGTCCATAACCAAAGTCAAACATGCCATGGATTATAAGCAGTTCATAAGCAAGTTCATTAAAAGGTATCATCGCTCCCGGCATCCAATTTCATTGTCACAATTTGAATACCGAAGATCTTTTATACATCGTTGGCACTGGTCTGTATCGACAAACGAAGCAGGCCAGTAATTTTTACTTCTCTGACCATGATGCCCCCAATTGCACAAAGAACGCTACTTGAGAAGGGATGGTCATTCAAGAAATCAACAGATGGCCACGATGCCTGGAAGCCTGTAGCCAGAGTGCCAACGGTTGCTCACATTGACTTGATTAATAACGGAATGTTAGTATACAGAGTTCTACGGTTTCCCAAGTGCTAATCGATGAGCTATTTAGCATCCCTGATCCATTTCTCGATATGAATGAGCTCGAGGTTGAGTGGGTTGGAGAGACGGCTTGGACTTACCAAACTACTTTTGACTCACCGTCTGTCAACAGTAGATCAGTGTATCTTATCTTCGAGGGTCTTGATACCTTTGCTCAAGTCAAGCTCAACGATATCATCATACTCAAGAGCGACAATATGTTTCTCAGCCACCGTGTGGATATAACTAACAAGCTTTCCAACGACGGGGCCAACGTGCTGAGCATCGAATTTGACAGTGCACTACTCAAGGCCAGAGAGATCACAAAGCGATATCCTGATCATCGATGGGAGCTCTTCAATGGAGAGGCTGGGCGCTTGGTTGTGAGAAAAGCTCAATATCACTGGGTATGTACAGCGAATAGAAGGCGAAAGACCTTTTGCTAAAGAAACACACAGGGATGGGACTGGGGTCCAGTGCTTAACACAGCCGGGCCATGGAAACCAGTCTGGCTTGAGGTTTCATCTGCCCACATCAATGATTTCCTCCTCAAGTACAGTGTGTCTCCAGATCTCAAAAAGGTCCAGGGTACAGTGGAAGTTGATATTGAGGGGCCGTATGACGTGGCAAATGTTTGTGTTCACTTTCAAGATAATATTGTTTACAGTACGGAAGCAGAAAAGTCTTCCAGTGGCCGTTTGGTTATCCCTTTCGCCATAGGTACTAGTCATAGGCCCTTTTCCAAGGTCCAAAAGCTAACAGCCATCGATCAGATCAGCCAAAGCTGTGGTACCCCGCTGGATACGGTCATCAGTCTCAGTACACCGTCAGTGTCAGTATTGTCAAAGACGGTCAGAAGCTTGATGGAAAGACCAAGAAGACTGGCTTCCGAAGAAGTGAACTTGTTCAAGAAGAAGACTCTCATGGAAAATCATTCTTTTTCAGAATTAACAATATCGACATCTTCTGCGGTGGCTCGTGCTGGATTCCTGCCGACAATTTTCTACCTCGAATCACCGCTGCTAAGTACCGGGACTGGTTGAAGCTTATGATAGAAGGCAACCAGATCATGACGAGGTGAGTGGTGATCGATGTGTCTTTACTCTTGGTACGCAATTGCTCACACAATTGCATTCAGAGTTTGGGGCGGTGGCATATACGAAGACGATGCTTTCTATGACTGCTGCGATGAGATGGGCATACTGGTGTGGCAGGATTTCATGTTTGGCTGCGGGAACTATCCAGTAGGGCCAGAACTCATAGAATCGATCCGCGAGGAGGCAGTGCAGAACGTCAGTAGACTGCATCACCACCCTTCTGTCGTCATATACGCCGGCAACAACGAGGATTACCAGGTTCAAGAGCAAGCAGGTCTCGAGTACAATCCAGACGACAAGGATCCTTGTTCTTGGCTCAAGTCTTCTTTTCCTGCTCGATACTACTACGAGTATCTCTTACCAGAGGTAGTCAGTGAGGTGTTTCCAGGGATGATATACTGGCCTGGATCACCGTTCTCCGGAGGCAAAGACACTGCAGACAAGACTACTGGAGATCTCCACCAATGGAACGGTAAGTGGCTAATTTCATCTTGCTTTTTCTTATTCACTGACACCTCTACAGTTTGGCATGGTACACAGGAAAAATACCAGGTCTTTGACAGGCTGGGTGGCAGGTTCAACAGCGAGTTCGGTATGGAGGCTTTCCCAGCCTTGTCGACGATCGAGCACTGCATTACCGAAGAGTACAACCGTTTTCCGCAGTCCCAGATGATGGATTTTCATAACAAGGCAGATGGCCACGAACGACGAATCGCTACTTATGTCGTGGAGAACTTTCGTCCTCTTCCAGATCTAGAGGTATGTTTCCTCCGGCTTCAGAAGCAGAGTTCTTTCTTACTGACCCCTCGTCAGTCTCATATATACTTGACGCAGCTTTGTCAGAGCGAAGCCATGACTTTTGCGTACCGCAGCTGGCGTCGCCAATGGGGCGATAAGCGTCGATGCGGTGGTGTCCTCGTCTGGCAGATGAACGATTGCTGGCCCGCCATCTCATGGTCTATCGTCGACTACTTCCTCACTAAGAAGCCAGCTTACTATTCCATTCGTCGAGCCCTCAAGCCTATCGCCGCGGGTGTTCAACGTCAACATCACGACTGGAGTGTCGTTCATGCGAGGCCCGCAAAGACTTCTCCATTTGAAGTTTGGGTTGTGAATAGTAAGCAGGAGGAGGTAACAGTCACTGTTGAAATTCGCTTCATTTCGATCAGCACTGGCAAGGATATCAGAGATAAAGTCATGAACGCCAACACGGTTCTGATCCCGAATGGTACGACTGACATCCTTGCTGGAAAGATTGACCATTCAAAGGATGAGCCACATGTCATATCTGTCAGGGTTCTACAGGGCGACATTTGTGTTTCCCAAGACGTTGATTGGCCTCAACCTCTCAAGTATCTAGACTTCTCTGACAGAGGTGTTGAGGTTCAGGTTAGGCCTGATGGGTATCAACTCACAGCTAACAAACCTACCAAGGGCTTAGTCTTTGAAGAGCTTTCCGGTATCTTCTTGGAAGACAATTGCATGGACATTATGCCCGGCGAAATTGTTAATGTAAAGGTCAATGGGGGTGATATTTTATCTGGAATCCCGAAATATAAGTACCTGTATTAATAGGAAAGCGAGAATCTAAGCCAAGACAACGCAATATCCTCGAGTTTACCACCGACGGGAACAGGATAACTTGAAACCTTGAAATAGACAGCAAGATAAAATGATAGAAAAATCTTTCAACTCGGTAGAAACTTGTCCAAGACTTTTCATCGCTTATGTTTCACCGTAAGAGGTCCTCGAGTTTCCTACCCTAGGTAAGCTAAGCGCCCAAGGCCAGTCTATATTTAGCACCTCTCCACCACAACCCCTGTGCATCAACAAAACCCATTGTAATTGGACAAAGTTGCCCCTTTTTGGCGCGTCTGTCAGATTCCCCAGCCATCACTTTATGAGGACCGACGCTGGGCATCAAGAAAAACCAAGTCTTTGAGACCTCACAAGTACCCAAATCGGACCATCTCAATAAGACACAAAAAACATACTGCAGCTCTTGAAATGTCCTCAACAGCTGTACCAGACCCGAGCTCTGGCGGAAGCAGTGACGACAATACCGAGCTCATTATTGCTGTGGTTGCGCTGGTCATCTCTGTCCTGGCCTTTGTCATTGCGATTCTCCAGGCGCTACAGCAGTATCTCGCCACAGCGACCGGTTTCTCGTCGTGCAGTGAAGCTGTCATAGGGAAATGGGCACAATTTGCGCGGCGCCGGATGATCTGGTCCGAGTTCCGTTTCGAGGTCCAGTTCGAAGCTCCAGTCATTTTCGTCGCCAAGCCCAGCAACACCAGGGGGCCACTGGGCGATGATGCTCTAGCCAAGGACGAAAGCAAAAAGATCATTCGCCTCGATGGCGGAAATGACAACTTCAAGTACACAGATACTGTCAAGGAATTCGACAACGAATACAAGCAGAGCACGCAGCGGATCATTCACACGGCAGATAATGAGAAAGCTACCTGGTACGGCTTGCTCATGGCTATCGTGAGAATGGAGAAGGAATCTCGCGAGTGGCAGGGCAAAAAGTCAGCTGAGTGGGTCAAGGCGGCTGGTCCGCGCCCACCAATTGACACAGAAGAGCCTCATGCTTATCACTCGCTAGTTGTCTGCATGCAGAGAAAGAGACGTACGTGGGATAGCATGCCCAAGGACTTTGCCAAGCCTTATGCCACAACCACAATATCGCATCTCGTAGAAATTGCAGGAATGCTAGGCATCCATTGGAGGAAGTTTGATCTCAATACCGACCAGTATCGCGGTCAAGGCAACGGGTTTGTTCTATATGGATCGTACACGGACGGTCTTGGTATCACCTTCAACTTTCAGAAGCAAGGGCCAACCTGGTTCGAGAAAAACAGGGTGATCCCCAACTACAACGTCAAGCAGCTATGCTTCGGTATGGCCCCAACGATCTTCAACCAGGAGAAGAAGGTCTATGCCGATGAGGCCAAGGGAGCTGAGAGTCTTCAGTTGGGAAGTTTGGCTGAGATTGCAAAGACGCTCGTGGTGCTTGGATGTGATATCAACACAGTCAATTACTTCCGAAAGCCTGACCAAGCACGCCACACTCACCTGTTTGCGGGTAAGTTGCCCTCCATTGAGTTGATGGAAGAGAATATTGACCTTGAGCAGTTCCATTCGAAATTCTTGGCATGGTCGGAGAAATGCTTCATATCAAGGGCACGGTCTTCCGTATGCTTCCAAACCCGACCGTCTTCTACTGGGATCCCAGTTCCTTTTCTCTTTCAGCACTGATGACGGAATACATCAACTGCTTACGGCCTCTACATGAGACAGCCTTGAAGGATAGCGAACAAGTACGTAAGATCATTAAGTGGGCAGAAGCGGATGAAAAGTTCCCGCTCCTACGAACAGAAGGATCAACGCTCGATATCTTTGGCGAAGAAATCAATGGTGCAAACCTGGTCAACCACCTCAACAATCTCCGATCTGGAGTCGATTTATGTGATGAGTACTTTGGTAGGATGAAAAAACATGGGTTATCCATGATTAAGAGAGTTGTGCGTATGCATATCCAAGAAGTCATGGGTATTCTACACGAGAAGAACGAAGCCGACGATAACACAAAGAACGATGACAATGATAAAGCTTTTGATGACACACCGCTCACCATTCACAATATTGATTCGGCGCCAGGCGAAGACAAAGAGACTCTTCTGATTCAAATGTATTTCGACCGCGTTCGACAAAACGTCGTCCGGAATCTCAGCAAACAGGGCCTGCTAAGCAAGCGCATGAGAGCAAGACAAGATTCCTTTGTCTCTGAAGATGACATGAGTGCAACTCGCCCCAAGCACGGTGGAAAGTTCGGGGACAAAGAGCTCAATGAGGCTTGGTGTGTACTCATGTTCCGCATGTTGTGCTGGCTACAATTGCATGATTTTCACAAAATGGATATTCAAATCAGCAAAAGCGATGCATACGCGAGCCGCATCCCAGTTTATATTGTATGATAGCGACAAAATAGGATTAAATTTTGACCGACAGCCTGTATCGCGGATTGAATATAACGGAATCGCCGGTTGTCTAGACACCTCATGTAATGACCACAATATCTTGGCCTCCTCGGTATTAAGAACTGATTATTGAAGCGTATGGGCAAATTCTATGATCGCTGATACTTACCTGGCGACAAGCGCCATCGGCAGTGTGTACAATTTCCTTTGGTCACTGGTTGGTTCCCTGGTAGTTTCTGCAGAGTAATCATGAATGGGTCTTGGAGCTCCACTGGGCCAAGGGCAATGCACTTTGACTATTCGACATCAAGGCAAGATCAACAAACGTCCGTGCCGGCTATACCTGTCTTTCGGGATGTGGATCATGCCTGGAAGACAAGACCTCGGTGTCTTTTGCAGTCAGTTGGCTGCAGGTATATGAATAGTCCTGTAATTGACAAGGCCAGTCAAGATTGAAAGGAAGGTGGTATTTAAAGTAGTGGTGGCCGGGCAGACAGTTGAGATGTTGATGCTGCAGTCAGCACAAAGCATTCGCACTGCAAAGAGCGACAGTTTGAGCTCTCGTACTCCGTAGTACTCGCCGATACATAACCCTTCTACTAGAACTATAAAATAAATCGCGCATTCATTTAGTTCCAGGTGAAGGGGCAAATTTCGGCAATGGTTTCACATAGAACAATCTTACGATAAAGACACTGTGGCAGTCAATTCGGCTTATCCTCCGTTATTCCCGGCACCGTGCACTGTTCTTATTAATTATCTATTTACCTTTACAGGTCCGGCACTTACGGAGAGTGCGGAACTAGCCTCTGAAACAAGCTTTAGACCTCTGAACCATTGACCTTCTATGCTTGGGGTGCAGTTAAGCCAAACCACGAGTCAGAGACGACTAGATACTGCTATGTCCGCCATAATAGATAATCAACCCGCCGCAGTTGCAATGCAAACTCCTTACTGAAGGATCCCAATGACATGGTTGCCTTGATTAAAGTTCAGACAGCCTCATAATGGGCCACTTGCGATACTACGACGCGTATTGCACTGTCGATCTATGGAGACACTTACGAGTCATCATCTCAGATCAGGAAATGTCGGTAAGTACGTCTGTATATTAGATGGCTACCAGCGCTGTATCAATACGAGACAGGAACAATACTGGATCATATAGCCAGTCCACATATTAAAGTTGAGGTGGAGTTATGTCAAAGACTACCATGTTACTGGCAAACTTATTGGAACGCAAGGGACAAGAGCCAAGACATTCTAATTATATCTCCATATAACGTGGGCCGACTTATAGTAAGACGATACGTGTGACTGATCCCCACGTAGCATAGTGGTAGAAGAACTCCCTATAAAAGCCCATCCGTATCTACTGGCAAGTTTCCTTTGTGATTCTCCATCAACTCAACAAGACTTTATAACCCGGTCTCTTGTACTCCCGAAATTCTATCAGCTCACATTCAAATTATCTTTCCAAGGTAGGTTCATGAAGAATAGATATCACTCAGCTTAGATTAGCACTAACAGCACAGCCAGACTCAAGCCACATAAGCAATGAAGCTGTCAGCTGTCGGTCTTTTCTTTGGTCTGTTCGTCATGGCCAGCGCAAAATGCTACAACTGCTTCTATGCAGACGGTTCGCCTCCTTGCGGCGCGTGCCCCAAGGTTATTAATGGTGGATGTGGTGGCTGCATCGGCGGTTGTCCTGCTGCGCCGGGTGGATCTTCAGCTAGTGAAGAGGTACCCTGTTAGACAAGTCTGGTGGCAAGACATTTTTGGGGAGAACTCTTGTATTCTTCTGAAGATAGAAAGTTCAACTGATAAAAGAATCCGGACATGATCAAGAAAAAAGTGTCCGGTGATATATTGTCGAGTCACTAACTTCCCTGTGCGGCAAACTCGTATTAGTGAACTATACCTATTTAGGAAGTGCGAAACGCATCTTTACTTCAATGATGTACTCGCACTTGCCAAAACAACCGGCTGCTTGCCGGTGGAACGTGTTAAAGATCTAAATGACAAGCATGTCCGTTTCAACCTCTTCAAGGAGGTATTTGACTTAGCAATAAACACAAGTTATACCGTCAGTCTGAGTTACTTCTCTGCGGTGATTTAAGTTCCTAGCCACAAGCCTCATTGCACAAAGAATCTCGGTCCTTCTATGATTCTTGATCTTCACAGACCTTCAATTCAACGTTACAACATGATGCAGCGACCTTTCCAACTATTTAACCAGGATCTTCTCCATGAAGCATCATACGTCCACGTGGAATGGGTTCAAGCAGCGTCCAGCAAAACCTTTGTCATCACTGATCCTGGCAGCGGTATTGCTTGGGCTACTTGCCCTGACAATGCAGCTGAAGATGTCAACAACGCAGTTCAATCTTCTTACAAGGGATTTCTGGAGTACAGAGGCTTTACTGCACGTAAAAGAGCTCAGCTCCTCCTGGAGTGGCATCGCTTAATTGGCGACGCTAAAGAAGACTTTGCAAAGCTTGTTACCTACGAAACTGGAAAGCCTCTAGCTGAAGCACGGGGAGAAATTGACTATTCTCTAGGATTCGCTTGGTGGTTTGCTGGCGAAGCTGAAAGAATCCAAGGCACAATCGGGGCGTCCAGCAATGCAGAAAGAAGAGTGCTTACGATCAAGCAACCTATTGGCGTGACTGTTGCGCTAGTCCCATGGAACTTTCCCGTTGCCATGATTATGAGGAAGGCCAGCGCAGCCTTTGCTGCCGGCTGCTCTATGATTGTCAAACCATCACCCGAAACGTCTCTGTCTTGCTTAGCCCTAGCAGATCTAGCCACCAGAGCTGGTTTCCCAGCAGGGACACTCAACGTCCTGACGACCTCTTTGGAAAATACTCCTGGTCTTTCCGAGGCTTTATGTACTCACCCATTAGTCGCCAAGGTGACCTTCACTGGCAGCACTAGAGTGGGCAAAATCGTTGCTGGTCTTTGTGCTCAGGGGCTTAAAAAGTGCACACTAGAGCTTGGTGGAAACTGTCCTGTTATTGTCTTTGATGATGCTGATATCAACCAAGCCATCGACCAGATCATGGCGTTGAAGTGGAGGAATGCGGGCCAAGCATGTATTACGGCAAATCGAGTTTATGTTCAAGCTGGCATCTACGAGAAATTCGCCACTGCTTTCTCCGAGAAGACCAGCAAATTCAAGACAGGTCACGGTGCTGATCCCTCCAACAACTTTGGGGCTGTCACTACGATTGTCGGTCTTCAAAAAGCTGAATCACAGGTCCAAAATGCTCTTGCAAACGGGGCCAAGCTCAGGACAGGTTCAGGAAGACCTTTTCTGTTATCTTCCTCGGGAGCGAGCAGCCAGTTCATGGAGCCAGTTGTTCTCACTGGAATGACACAGGATATGCAGATGGCCAAAGAAGAGACGTTTGGTCCAGTTTGCGGTCTCTTTAAGTTTGACACGGAAGAGCAGGTTGTCAAGTGGGCTAATGACACCAGCCTGGGTCTCGCAAGCTATGCGTTTACTAAAAATTCGGACCGCTTGTGGAGGTTGTTTGAGAAGCTAAAGGCAGGCATGATCGGGTTGGTAAGTACAAGCAGTCCAACTAAATATTATTGTTCCAGAGAAACTGACATGCTATAGAATACAGGAAATGGCTCTGCCGCCGAGAGTCCTTTTGGAGGTATTAAGCAGTCTGGGTACGGGAAGGAGAGTGGCAAAGATGTCGCTGCGGCGGAATATCTTGTTGAGAAGACTGGGACTTTGACAGTCGTGTGATAGTTCTAAAAGGCGACGAAAAATGGCCTGATGCACTGGAAGTGAGTCCCGCACTTGGGTGTTTTCTGTACTTAGTTTGGACTCGAATACAGTTGATTGAGGACGATTGTGTACCTGGATATCTCGAGATCCAGTGAGCTCGGCCAAATTTCTATCTGTTCCTGTTGACAAGGCCACGCAATATTACTAGTGTATTACAACATCTAATGGAAAAGGACTGTTTTATGTACATAACAGGGTTCAGATAAGAATCTTTATAAACTAATATAATTTATTTAAGATATTCCAGAGCCATTCAGTATAGGTCATACCCTTTATTACCTTACCTTATAAGCCAGATTCTAGCAAGACTACAGACAGGTGAGTAAACATAGCTCGTAAGGATATGATCAGTTCTGTAACATTACAAATAGCATTATAACACTTTGTATTAAGAAACTAGATAATTTTTAACAAGACTATTATTATCCCTAATTGAGAAACTCGCTTCCGGCAAAGTCCCCCAAACGCGTGACTTCCTCCAAGCACTGAGCTATAATATGAAGAGCCTTAACTAAATCGTCCTCTGTAATTGTCAAAGGTGGGCTAAATCTCAACCGATCCGCACCAATACCGACAAGCACACCGTAATGGGCAGCAAGAGCCTGGACTCTTCGAGGGGTGACGCCCGGTACACTCTGATCAAGAACCAAGGATTGGAAAAGCGCAATTCCCCGAAGCTCCTTAACGTGCGGGGGGTTGAGCTCCTTGATTGTCTTCTCCAGAAGTATTCCAAGACGTTCAGAACGTTCCGAGATCTTCTCGTCTTCTAGAACATCTAGAGTAGCAAGAGCAGCGGAGAGAGCAATAGGAGAGGCCCCGAAGGTTGAAAGAACTTCGCTTTTATTCAGCAGATCCATGACATGCTTCTTGCCCATAACTACAGACATGGGGTAGTATCCTACGGCAAGTTAGTCAACCATAATAATGCCGAGCAGATTCGATGGGAACCTGACTAACCTCCCGCGATCCCTTTGCCAAGGGTCACCATATCGGGCTCAAGTTCTGGTTCGTGGTGAAAGGAAAGGTCTTTTCCAGTTCGCCCGTAGCCAGCCTGAATCTCATCACAAACTAAGAGGACGTTATGCTTTCTGCACAAGTCTTGTGCGTCCTTCAAGTAGCCCTTGGGAGGAACAACGGTTCTAATAAACAGTCAGTGGTTGGCCATCTGGTGAATGTTGGTTTGGAACTAACCCCGCCCATCCTTGGACTGGCTCCACGAAAAATGCAGCAAGTCTCTCACCATCCTCCTCAAATACTTCTCTCAAAGTATCTATGTCTCCAAAGGGGACAAGCTTGCCGCTTGTAGGGGCATATGGTCCCACGTTGGGAAGATGTTGTCCGAAATCTGCATTCAATGAGTTTCAACACAGGGAATTATGGTTTACGGATAGCGGAACAAACGTTTCTGGGAAACTGTGGCCATAGGCATGGTGGATAGTGTCAGACCGTGATAGCATTGGTCAACCGTGAGAATATGAGCCTGATCCTGGGGTATGCCTTTCTTGAGATAAGCCCATTTGCGAGCGATCTTGACAGCCGATTCGACTGCCTCAGATCCACTCAGCATAGTCGCAATGGAATCGAACCCGAATTTCTGATTATAGATCAGCATTTTCCATCTCATCAAAGATTTGCCGGTATTCTGTCGTTACTTACATTAGTGAGCCGCTCTGCGAATTCCACGTACAACGGGCTGATGTGACCCGTCCCACTTAGCGGCATCTTGTAGATCTGGTCCACAGCTGCCTTGGCGATCTTGGGATGAGAATAGCCAAAGTTCATGACGGCAAATTGCCCAATGAAATCGATATATTCCTTACCATCTACGTCGGTGATGGTATGATCCTTAGCTGATTCAACAGCAACTGGCAGGGTCGGGAACCCTCCCCTGATGTGCTTGGACCACGTGTCTACAAGGCGCGCAGTCTTCTCAGACAGCACAGGTGTGCTGCTGAGTTTACTGGTAGATACCTGAGGGCTAGTTTCTAGATGGAGCCATGGCGTAAATTGTCATGGGTCAGCTTGGTCACTTGTATTAAGTTGCGTCTTGTCACTGTTGAGGCATCCCAAGCCTTATGGGAGCTATTTATCCATCACTACTGGGTAGCTGGAGTATATGTAGTTATCAGTTGAATCCATCAATGATTACGGCTCGCATTTCCAAGTTGGGAAAGGTAACAATCTACGTACTCGAGAACTCAAAGTGACTCAAAACATTATCTGAGCACACTCTTAGGGTTTTACGCTATTTTCCAAGATCTTTACTGCGATAAGAACAGGCTGTGGAACCGGTTCGCAGACCGGAGCAGCAGCCGGGAACGATCCCGTTCCCTTCTACTCGCGGATTGGCTTGTGGAAGATGGGGGGTTGGTAGCAAATCATGCCCATCTTTAGCATGCGACACGCACTTCCATTTGGGGCTTAACCTGTTTTCCCGTACCCCACCCAGAGTCTGCGGCAATTTGTAGTCAATATATGGCATAGGTTTGAGAGCGTGCTGTTGGCCATTGGAAATATGCCCATGGAGGAGGAATCAACAAGCCAAGAATGAATATGAGTCTATGAGGAAAGTGTTTTCTTCCTCCAATCTCTCTCAACAACAATTACCTCATATAGTAGACATACCTGAGGCGGCCAAGCTATATAATTCCGATACCAACTTAAAGCCCGCGCTGAAATTATAGGTAGCCCTAAAATACTGTCCGCCGGGCTAAATTACATGTTAAATAACTACTTGCTAGATTATAAAATGCATTGCTTGGGAGTCCTTCATTCGGATGTTCATATCGTCATCCATCCAAGGGAGATCCCAAGGCCCTTTGGGCACCAGGTCATGATATTCACTATCACTCATACTCCAAATGTCTTCTGTCAAAGACATCATAAGCTCCCTAGAGCGATCTGGATATATGGCTATCATCTCGGCGTGTTTTTGACGCACCCACTCACGGTCCAAAGGCACGATGGCCTCTCGCGCAGCCATGTAGAATGGAATTGGTAATTACGAGTCTGGTCCGCAGCCAGGAGGGAGTCTATCAATAAGAGAGAAAAGATGCTTTCGGTAAAGTTGAACTCGACTTGACGCTGTGGGATCCATGAATACTCGCCGGGCAAGGAGAAGGTGCGCCATCCAGTAAAAGCATGCATTCAGTGTACTAAGATAGTCATCTTGCGAGGCCGTCCCATGAAAAGACAAGGGTTTGTTTGATCGAGAAGCTATTTTCAGCGGCATTGGGTACTTTCGTGATCCCCAGTCTCGCATACTCGTTTCGAGTTGATAAGCTTCAGCGAGCCGTACGTCGTTTTCCAACTCAACCTTGGTTGCCAATATCGATATCTTTGCCAAAAAAGAAAGTACAGGCTGAGGGCAGCCAGTAAGTTCGCGAAAGGATGGCCCACGTACGTCAGCTTCCTCATGTTGCTGATACAGGATGAAAGATTTGGGTGCGAGGGGTTTTCGGCGCCGCAAGAGAGACAACATGACGTCAATCATGGCAAATCGCTGCACCAAGAAGCGAGAATAGAAACCTTTAGGCATTTTGTCGATGTATCGTAGTTCAACCACCAGTTTAAAGGCACTCCGAAGATGTGTGTCCGTCGTGAGGCCACCAGTCATAGCCTCCGAGGCGATGTGGATGAGATATGCTGCAAGAGTAACTTCTCTCAGTGATAGGACTGAAAAGGCATGATTCTCTATGGATAAAGACGACTCTTCGGTGGTGTCAAAAATCCGGAGAAATCGTTCCATACTCCGCAACGATCTCAAAGCTTGTGACCGACGATCTTCCATAACTCGCAGGTCGCCTCTGCAATAATTGTACATATTTGCAGCTGATACATACAAGAATGTATGTAAGAGCAGTGAATATGACATGGAAACTCTGCAAAGCTCTCGAAATGGATTTCCAGGGCTATCAAGAGCTGGGATCCGAGGAGAAGCATCGGTCATGACTAACGAGGGATGATGTTAATTTCAGTATGAATACGATGGAGTTCTGAGAACCTACAATAGTTAAACATGATTTCCTCGGTACAGATGGCGAGGCTTGGTGCCAGCGGTCCTTGGCTGAAATGAAAGGTGTTGGTGGCACCAAATGCTAGACCGCCACTAGACCTCGGTCTGTTGGTCTCATGTTCGCTTTCAATAATTTCTGACGATGCTTCGGTGCTACCTAGAACGGACATCCACTCGACATTCATCAGATCCGGCACCAATGGCTCGCTTGTGCCGTCTCCTGGATCATTATGTTGGGCGAATAATGTCGACAGATCCTGATCTATCACAAATTCGTTCAACCAATTGCTGTCGAACTGCACATCTGGAATGTCGTTGAAACATAGGCTCACGTCGTTGTTATCTTCAGTCGAGACCTCGTAATCCTGTGGCGAAGGCATTTGATGGCTTGTAGTGGCAGAGTCAACAAAGGATAAGGACGTGTGCGGCGTATCTAAATTCGGTACGGGTCTAGAACGAAGCCTACCTCGGTGGTCACTTTCTGATGGTCGAGGTTGGCTGTCGTTTTCGTAAAGCGCCGCGCAGGAGTTTGGGCTCTGGCCTTGATTGAGGGCTCCTGTTTCGATTTGGCGTTGGTTCAAGACCTCAGGGCTGATATCGCTTTGCTGTGCATGTTGCACTCGGGCACGGATGCGCTGTTGTCGACCCCGACTTTGCGCTATTTTCCTTCTCCCACCTTGATCAATTCTTTTGGTAGCTCTGTTGAACGAAGTGTCAGAGATAACAAACACGTCGTTGACGGGCGCCCATCGAAAATCGCTCGTGTAGTCGCAAGTGCGGCCTGACTTTTGACAAAGCGTACAGACAGGCCGCTTCTCATCACATTTTCTATGACGCTTTCTGCAAGTCAAGCAGCCTGGTGAGCCGATTAGGTAGATGATAATATAAGTAATGAGAGAAAGATAAGGGAACGAGGTCCGGGCTACCAGATCGTGTAACTCGAAGTGAGTCTAGTTAAAGGCCATGGTAAAACAGAAAGGTGAATTATGTATCTGTTTTAAACGCACCTTGTCGTGAACGGATTTCAGGTCGCTGCATGATAAGACTGCCCCGCCAACAGATGGATTGTTGGAGATGAGTGAAAATGGAATCAAGGTAAGGAAGTTGCGGGGTGAATAGTTCTCGGGCCAAGATTCCAAAAAGAGCATAGGTAGTTGATTCGGCAAATTTAAGTATAGAGGCACGAAGTGGATAGACTGCCTAAGTACCTAAGGCAGAGAACGATTGGCGCGATTAGCTAATTAGTGCTTTAGGCCAGATTATAAAGCAGAACTAAATTCAGTTAACAGACTACTAAAGGACCTCTGGAAGATAACAGTTGCTAATTGGACTCTCCTTAACTGTTTTGGTAAAAAATACCCAACGCTTGTTATACAAGGCGTATGGGTTATAAATAAATGATACTAACTAAAGCTTAAAGAAATGAAAGCCACTCGGCTACCGAGCTACACTACCCAGATGAGATCCAAGCTTCACTATCCTTCCCCTTTCCCAGAGACTCAAGCAACCACTTAGGTGCAGTAACTCGCCATAACATCCCCCCCGACTATCGTTCATACGAAGTCGTTCTTCTCCTGCCACATCGCGGACATTTGGATCCTAGAAAGGCTCTTAGGAGCGTATCAGAGGCTCCCTAGAGTTCTTGTTCCAGGCGCCAATAAATCGTGATCGTCAGACCAGCTTGATATGGGATCATGGCAAAGTCTCCAGTAGATGTCGAGGTAGAGATATCGTTGTTGGACTGTTGGCCAGCTGAATTGTAGCGGGTGACAATCTGTCCACCTTGATACACCTGCCAGACAACCTCCTGGTGAGATCCTGCGGTAGCTTCCATGTGAATGTGAATCACCCGTTGATTCTGGTTAGCGTCTAGGTTGGCGGTGAAAACTTGGATGTCAACTCCGTTCTGGACACGTCTGGTGGTGGAGAATGGGCCCTCAGGAACGGCGCTAGTGTCAAAGGACCAGTGGTAGTCGAAGTTTGACGGACGACCGAAAACAGTCCTCCAGGGAAGAGTCAGTGGTATAGCTGGGTTATGCGACGCCATGACCATTGAATGGAGCCATGCCAGGCAGAGAAAGATGGCAGTTGAGGGACGGACGAGCTTCTATAAGTTAGCTATTGTCCCAAGACGTGAACAAGAGTACTCACCATGATCGATGCAGTTTCGATGAATGAAGGTCTGGGTTGTTGATGTATCTGAACTCGAAGGGTGAGATGCAGCTGACGTTATATATTAGAATTATTGAAACCTTTCTCGGTTACCGTCTATCTTAACTTCGGTATGTGGGCGGAATTCAGTCTTTCCCGACAAAGCAATGTTTGAAGACAATCCGGCACATAATTTAAGCTTTTAATATGTTATACTTTCTCTTAAAACTATTTACTCCATATCATAGCTCTCAAACACATCTACCTACTCAATGCCGTTAGGCCAAGACTTTTACGTCTTCTAGAACTTTTATTCTTGCCAATTCTGCAAGAGAGAGGCCGCAAGCAAGTGGCTCTAGTTGATTCAGCCGCTTACTCATGACTCTGTCTTTCGGGGCGTACCGATACTATTGTACCTCTCTTGGTTATTGTATGAAATGTAGATAGACGCATCGAGTAGCTATGAAAACTCAAGAGACAGACAAGACTCCGTTCTTATGTAGTTTAAGATCGACCACACAGGCAGTACCAATAATACAAGACTGATTTACTGCAAGAGGAGTGACTGATTGAGGCAAAGCGGATGATATCTCAGTAAGATATATTAAGCGGATACACTGAATGATCCACTTCACAAGGATAAAATACCGAGATCCGAAGCTCCCATTGCTGCTCCGTCAACAACAGCCGATCCAAATAACTGTGAAGGCACTCTAGGCACAATCATACCTTTCCATACCATATACTACATAATCTGTCGGCAGTAGACTACGCCGCCTAGCCAAAGGACCAATGTGAGGCGCCCAGTCCACGTCACATTGCAGCAACAATTATGTCTAGATACCAGAAATCGAGATATAAGGTTTAAGAAGGATTCTAATGAGCTTTTTTTTCCATTGGCAAAAAGGCCTCGGCGGTTGAATGACTGAAAAATGAGGCCGATCATATAACGCAGTACTGCAAATAGTTAACTAGATAGAAGTTTAACTTTTCTGCTTCTAATAGTAGAGAAGGAAAAATCCTAAATTACATGAGCAGAGTCAACGAATGTAATATAAAGGATTGTCAACCCTGGACAGAAGTTAAACTTAAAAATGAGTTCTAGAGAGAAATGAAGTTAAGGCGGTGTACTGAAAAGCATAGTTGTGAAAGTCTCGACCATGTCTACTGCCCCTCGAAGAGAAGATTCAGAACGGCCTGACTACAGATATAAAAGGCCCAAGAATCCCCTCACTTACCTCAAGAAATCACCACTACAATCCGCTTCAATATCCAGTATCATTTACACTCTCTATCTTCAGCTTCAGCTTCAACCGCCGCAATGCTCATTAACACTTTCTTAAAACTCCTTGCCTTCAGCCCTGCTGTGCTCGTAGCCATGTATGTATACCACTTGGGAATGTTGAAGTCAACAGCTAATATTGTCCAGTGAGCCTCGAGAAAGTCACGGCTGGTGCTGCTGCTACCGAAAGGGATCTGGTGTCCAGAACCTCGATATCGGCCTGACCAGCAATGTCTGTAGCAACTTCGTCACCGTATGTTCAATCTTGTCTGGAATTTCTCTAGTATGACTGAAATGCTAACCTCTACATAGTCGGTTGGATTCGACCAGGATGACCATAAAGTAAGATATCGGTACTGTTTTATCGGAATTACTTACTAATCGCACCAGTGTTATACCACTTCAGGCCACAGCGACATTGATGGAGATACCTGGGAGAACCACTGCAAGGATTACGCTAGCAAGGGATATTGGTATGAAGGCATTTACTACCAATGGGATCGTAACGATGTCAAGGGCAAATGCTCTTAAATCACCTTATCCACAAATGCCGTATCAGGATCTCTGAGAAGGCCCTCTCTGGAGTGAGGTAGTCCAGACTCTTCGCATATAGCTTTAGACCAGCAGTTCTAGCTTTCAAATATGACCCAGGAGCTAAAGCAGTTCGAGGCTTTCAGGACCTCATTCACGTCTCAGATGAGTGCAATGTATCTATGCTCACGCATTCCAAACCTACAATTTCTTGCAATTACAACGTAGACCCTACCAGAACAGGTGCCACTTGTATCGGTAGCCACAGCTGATGAGTCAGTATTGGTAAAAGTCGCCGAACGTCAGATAACATTGTGCAGGGCGGATACCCTAGATTAAGCTCAGGTATCTAACAAGACTTCATTCACGCCGAATCATGGCGGACAGATTGCTTGCCAGTAAACAAACAAAGTCTCAGTGCTGTTCCTCCACTGTCGACATACCAGATCCATGAGGCCCCAAGTCTGAGCTGAGCTGTTGACGCTTGCGTATCCATCCTAATCTACCACTATTATGTTGTAATGAACTCAGTAAACTCAGATCAGCCGGTACAGCGATGGCACAGTCTCTGCCCAAGTCCTAGCTTTTGAGAGACGCTTGCTGTGTGCTCACGTGCATTGATATTGCCTCGGCAGATTGGCTCAATAGTGCATTGACTAGCATGCCAACAGATTGGGCTGCTGATCCAGCGTTCAATTTATTCTCTAGCCGCGCCCTATAGCAGGTTTTCGCATCAGTTTTAAAGTTAGCTTTGTCTACTAGTGGCTGGTCCCGAGCTCACAGTCTCTCTGCCGCATAGAATTGCTGTTGCGCTCGAGCCTCGGCTAGATTCCGTGTCGCAAACTAGACCTAATTCTGAAAGGCGAGCCAAATAAGTAGCTTCTTGATAATTTTCGGGTTGCCTACTTTGCGCATTACTTTCCACTACGTCATCATGAGAAGCCATGATCTGATTCTAGTGACTTCTATTGCTCTTTAAATACTGGGGGACTCCTTGGGTGCAGAAGGGAGATTGCTGCTATGACCTCTTGACAACATTAGCCTGTTATCACTTCCGCAATATAAAAGGCATCTGTTTTCTATAAATTCCACTCTCGCCTCATTATTAAGCACAGAAATTGCAATTTGCATTGAATATCGAATCGATCAACATGGACGCCAAACAATACAGCAGACCCTCGCAAGCACGAAAGCCACAGCGGCCCACCAAACTCGTGTTAGCACTACGAGCACTTGTCCTTGCAGTCACGGTCGCTGGGATCGTCGTCTCGTCAATCCCTGCCCCGAGAAACTTTATTGCAATTGGAATACTGGGACCAGCTGTAAGTGGACTCACCATGGCCATGTTCTGCAGAGCCTTGTATATGCTAACGAATTAGTTTGTCACAACCTTCTGCTGGTCGTTTATAGAACTCGTCTATCCTTTGATCAGAATCCTTCCACCTGCCTATGTATCCTTCCGTATCCTTATAGACGTCTTTATTGTTATTGGATCAGTAATCTGCCTGATATGCTTCGGCTTGTTCCGGGATTGGTGGCCGGGCGGTAGTGCTCTCAGTTCGAATGACGCACCATTAGCCAGAGAGATATTGTTCCAAGCGGCCCTGGGACTAGCCTGCGCATCGACGTAAGTTGTATTTCTCGCGCTGTGATATATCCTTCTGACAGATGTCTCCTTAGCGTCCTTGAGATCGTACTTTGCATTACTCAACTTATGGAAAAATAGTCGATGCCCAAGCATCCAGGGAGTAACAAGCTTAGTTGGTGTTTATAATTTGAAAACAAAAAAGACATATCTCGATCTTGTCTCCTGTCTAATTATTGTACTTTGCAATCAATCGATTTCTAACCTGACTGTCTATGGTTCTTCAACGCGATCATTCCACTGGAAGACTCGAACCGCCCAGTCCATAACTGGCCGCCAGTCTTTTGGCAAACACCTCATCACCAAATCAAACTCACGTTCTGGTGCACCATCAATCCACCAGATCTGTCGTCCCTGTCTGACTAACATATAAAAGTATCCACAGATAGCCAAAGCCCGAGGGTTCTTTGCCACTACAAGATCCACAAAGCTATCCGAAACCGTAACCGCGAACCGCAAGGGCTTTTCAGTTACTAGATTAGCATAGATATAGGAGATCTGGGCCACTGCCGTGGTGCAAATTTCGATTTCATGTTGATGAATTGATCCTGATTCTGGCTTCCAGTGGAGTAAGAAGCTAAAAGGGTTCATGTCAATCTGATGGGGAATGATGCAGGAGAGACTCGAGAGCTCTTGGATGATGGAGGGGTTCTCGATGATCGGTGACACCCCATCAAAGAGGCTTGAAACCTTACGGCATGATATGAACCAGTCGTGAGGTTGCCTTTGGTTTCTTTCGCTCTCAAGAGAGTATGCTCTCAAGTTGGCATGCATGCAGATGAGTGCGCAGGTTGCGAAGAGTCTGGCGGTATTGGACTCATTCACGCCTCCGTTCAAATCCCTCTTATGTACCTCTATCGCGCGAGCCATGTATCTATGTGAGATGAATAGAAGTTTTGTCTCAAATTTGCCCAAATTCTGAAGGTGAGAGGCAGCGGTACCAAGAATTGCATCCATGACACTGATTGATTGGGTGGCTTGCTTCAACATCCAAAATGACCAGATAGCTTGAGTCTTGGTTGTTTTTTTTAGTCATGTCAATGAAGTGCTGCAATAACTGGAGTTCGAACAGGCGTTCGGGAAGTGATGAAGTTCGTGTATCGAAGATCTCGTACAATGTGAGACTGATCCGTGTCTAAACTGTCGGCTTAGGGCTTGTGATAGGCGTGGACTCAGTGCACGATTGCTTTTGCTTGGGAATGATCTCGACCGATTTTCCCGAGCTTTCTCTTGTCCGAAGCGTGGCAAAGTATTCGCAAAACGCGTCCCGTCTATGGCAATTTTTGCAGACTGGGCGCGTCTCGTCACACTTTAGATCGGTCAGATAGTGACTTCAAGGAACGTTACCTTAATTCGACTTGTTTTGCATGCCTTGCAGCCCATTCTCGACTTCCGATGGGTCCGACGCCGTAAAGGAACCGACGTTGCGGATGTTCTCGATGTCTCGTCGGCTTCAGTCATTTCTAACTCAGTTCTCTAAATAAAATCAATCAAAACGTTTCCAAGGGTTGAATAACAAATGTGGATATCGTTTGGCAGATGACTTTTTTCATTTTCATCCACAGCCAGCCAGAATTAGAAGTAAAAGAGAAAAAGGTTATTTGCTTATTTACTATGTTTTAATTAATAGCCCCTCAGCGTGGTGGAGCGTCCAAGCTCCCCCCTAACTTCAAACTCTGCTGACGCGTTATAACTAAAAAGCATCCTACTAGCACCGGCGGCTGTGCAGTACCAGGATATTGCAAGAATGCGACCTTGGTCTCCCAGAGTTTTGTAATTTCCCAAGATCATTTTCCCATTATCCTAACGGTTGCTAGCAGCGATTGGCTCTCTGCCCACGACCGTTCCCAGCGAGTGACCTTGCCAATATCCCAGAGGTTCATCGGCCTCTGAATCGGTAAGATTCTTTGATCTTGCATTCAAGAACTTCGAGGGGTGAAAGACATTAAACATAATGCTTGCAATAGTCATCGGGATAGCATCCAAGACGAGAAGGTAGACTTCTTTGGACTGGAGCTCTCCGTCGTGTCCCTGAATATATTTGATCATACGGAAAGAGAGAGCGAATGAGAATTAGCACGCTTGCCACGTAGATCAACACCAAAGACCTCTGCCAGTTAGTTCCAGAACTGGACATTCGACGTGTAGGATCCTTGAGAAATTGGAAATGAAATAGACCTGTCACAATGAAGAACAAGCCAAAGAACAAAATTTGTACTGTCAATCCGGCGATGATGATATTCTCTCCTGTCCTCCTTTCGTCTGGGGTGTTGGCATCGGCGAGCTTTCCACCACCTAGAAATAGTTAGCCAAACCACCTTCGTAACTGGAAATACAATATGAAGTGTCTCGACGCACCGATGCCTTGAAGCGCAATTGAGATGATGTCGCCAAGAAGAAATAACTTGGTCAACCAATTGGGCCTGATCAAGGAATGCTTTTCTGCCTTCAACATCCCGATCAGCCGACCTAGGATCATGTAGATTGACGCAGCATAGCACGTTGGTCCTAGAAGAAGTAGTAGGCTCTGCATAATATATGGCCCAAAAGTATAGTCCGGTGCCTGCTCAGCGCCAATGGCACGGCCAATAAATCCAATGGTTTCAACTTCAGTCTGTTAGCTAGTCAATAGAAACGCTCGATCCAAGGCACACTCACAGAGCGAGCCGACTAGGAATGGTATGAAAAACCAGGTCCTCGTTTTGAAGATCTGGAAGAGATGAACTCCTGACGAAAGGGCGAAAATGACGACGAAAAGGATGTTGGCAGCTAGTGAGGGCTCATATCGATAGTAGTTCACCATTATGAAATCGGTTGTAGTGTTAGGTTAAAAAGGATTTGAAGAAAGGTTATTCTGACTGAGATACTATGCGTGTTGAATTGCAAAAGGCGTTGCAGTGAGCAAGTCTGACAACAGAGCAGGAGCCTGCATTTTTATCAGCTGGTCTGATTAATGCATACACTCCCAGTCGGTCTCTGCACATGCAATCAAGCTCGTCTGTCAGTCCCGGCGCCACGATACTCTGCAATTATTATCCTCTTTATTGATTAACATACTTACATGGTGACGCGTTTGTATGTAAAGGTGAAGACAGTCCGTCATGCCGAATACGGCCAAACCGTACCGATCAACCTCTGATTGGCCATTCTCCCGCTATCTTATCAATGTTGACCCCGAATCCCGACTCACCAGCATGGGATGTCTTGGAGCTTGATGTCACGGCGGCGCGATTGAGGCCTCTTACCTACCGACCGCAAGTCTCACGGTCCAGAGAGGGCCTACGACCTATCACATGTTGATAGGATGTAGTGCTCCACATTGCTGTTTGAAGATTCCCGAAACCCCGAGAGAAAGGAGTCTCGGCACCTACCGATTGGTTCGCAATACGAGGCCCTGGTTCATTTTAGCTCCAAGTCTAGCTTCTTACTACTTTATCTACCTAGCATAATCGAGGATGAATTCAGAGGATATGGACCAAGTTCATTACAGGCTGTTTGTCACTTAGGATAGAGGTCCTCAGTTTTGTTGCATCGCCTCGCCTGGCCTGCCTGGTTGTCTCCAAGCCTCTTTCATGCATCCCTTGGAAACATATAAGGTATCAATCTCTTGCACCACAATTGCCTACTCTCGTTGTAAGACTGCTGTGGTGAATGTAATTTTTAAACCCATTGTGTTAAAGTCGAAGTGTATTTTCTAACCTTGTGACTGACTTACCTTTCTTGGCCGACGGATTAGAGCATCTTATATACCTTCAAGGCCAGCTAAAGAGTTATCTTTTAGGTTTTCCTAATATTAGCCTTTAGCTATAGTAATTAGTTATTTATTATAGTATAATATCTAAGTTATTAACTAGATATATTATTTATAGTTAAGGCTTGTGGCTAAGAGCTTAAATTAGTAGACAGAACTTAGTAATTTTTAAACTTCACGAACTTCAAGGAGGTCGTATGGACAGCCTTGCCATTGCAGATAAAGGTTTATTCGATGACTGCCATAGACGTAGGCATCGCAACCTTCAGGTATCTAGCCGTCCAGCAATATATACAATACGTAAAGAACCATAAGATTCCCCATCAAAAGCATGTAGGGGATAACTTTCCTAGGCGTAGTAAAGAAAGAAGCGCCTTTGTAGACCAAGCCCATGATCCCAGTCTCTGGTGACTCGTCATCTATTTTCCACCACCACCAATCATCTTCCAGCATGTCTTCGGGACAGTACCTCCTCAAGCGCATCATGACGCGAACCAGACGAAGGTGGTGCAGAGCTCCTGGTCCTGTCCAGTCTGAATATTTTCGCCTGTTTGTTCAGGTCGAGGATGGTTGATCCAGCGGTAGCTTTCCATGTGTCGCGTCATCCCAGCCAAGTTCTCGGGCTTCTTTCTCAACGTCGACAGAGCTGTCAGCAAGAGGAGGTCTCGGCTTTGTTCCCCAGAATACCTCTTCTCGCTTCTCCAGATCCAGAACGAATCGTATTGCTGACTTGAGGTTCGTTCTCACGCTGCAGACGGAGTTGTCAGATGGGTTATGCTCAGAGAGGACCCCTCCGTTGCGATGCAGGCTATGAACGATATAGGATGCTTGAGACCTTCCATAGACCCAGTTTGTACCAGAGTGACAGGGATATTATCGGTTTCTTCAACTGTAAAGCGCTCCGTCCTTGACACTTGCGTTTGGTGCACGACAATGAAGAGAGACTTGAACAGAGGCGGGACCTTGTGACTCCTGCTCAATGTTGTGAAGGGCTCCTCTTGCGGCTGCCTAGATGGCGGCGGGACAGGTAAAATAGGTAGTTCCTGAAGCATTTGAGATGTGATGCTCTTGAAGGCATCAGGCGAGAGACTTTGGACGATCCTGTGGTGGAACTCTGAGATATCGACGAGAGCTGGGTCAATATACGCAGTGTAGTGTCCAAATGAGATAGATTTAGCAATATAGCGGCCATACTCTATATCGGACTGATATGGCTTGAACCAATGACGGTAAAGCCAAGCATCGAGTCGCTCAATACACCGTTATTGCATCTATCCGCCTGACTTGCGTCGGGATAAAAGAGATACATCGCGACAGACTTGTTATAACAGTCTAGAAAATGTCGACGGTCATTGTAGTTTGTATCAAGTCACCACTCTACACTGTTTGAGCTGGCTGAAAATTTGAAACGCATGTACTCGCGAACGAAGAGTGCAGAAGTGTTCTCCCTGTGCTCTTTTTCCTTGAGTGCACGCAGCTGGTGGAGTATCTGGTCCCTGTCGGTAAATTGCCCGGGCAGCCCCAGAGCAGGATTCCTGTCAAGAAGGCGATGATATTCCTTGGCATCCGTGGCCATCAAGCGTCGACGTGTTCTCTGGACGACATAGTCCGCTTTCCGGGATTGGTTGGGATCGGGCTCAGAATCCATGATAAAGCGGTAATGTCGTGGGAAGGTAAAGATGTAGAAAAGCAGAAAACACAGAAATCATGGGCTAAAGACACTTTATAAGTAGAAGCTGAAAGTTAAAGCGTGGTTGAGTTTAAACTTAATTACCTAAAAACTCTTGTACTAAAGAGAGTAAAGATATACTTTCTAACTGATGATACCGAGCTTAAAACCAAGAGTCTACGGCAGAGAGGAAGACAGTTAAGCTCAATGTACCGAAATAAGCTCTTAGCAACAAGTCTTAACTGTAAGTAACATATCTAAGTACTAATAATGCTTAGTCTAAGATCCTTTAAATCTATACTAAATTATAGTAAGTTTCCCTACGGGTTTTTATCCCTTAGGGTCAAAGTCCTAAGTTTTATTACATTCTTCTATATTACTAAGACGTTCCTCAAATTATTGAAAATTCGCCATGACCACGTCACTCCTGTCCAATCTGCATCGGCAATGGCACGCGTGAGCAAGTTGTGGAATCATACCCTGTTATCTCGACATCGTGTTGGCAGGGCTCGACGGTTGTCTGCGTAACGGCGGTTTCGCGACAGGAAAAGAATCTATTAGTTAGAGAGGAGAGAGGAACTGGCGCAACGCTTGAGGAGACTGGTAACGTGCTATAAGGACAAGACTCAATGATTTCGAAGTGTGGGACTGCGCGCGATGTCATTCGGGTATCGCGGGATTGATGAAGATGAAAAACGGAAAGGAAAACATGGTTATTTACGTAGCCATGACATGTTCTTAAAGGTTGGAAGGAGGTTTTAGTGACATGGAAGGAGGTCTTCCTTCATGTGGGAAGATCCACCTACTAGAGAATTCTCCGCTAAATGCTTTCAATTGCCTTATGCGCTTATATACTCTGAGGCTGTTAAGATGCTCTCTTACACTTTAGGTACCTTAAATCGAGAAAATGCATTTTTTAAGCCTCTTTAAATCCCCTTAGAATTATTTCCCCTCTTAGCTTAGACTAGGCCTTAATAGAGACCTAAAAGGGCTTAGCTATAATAATAGTACTACTAGTATATACTATTACTAGATTGAGGTTAATTTCTATATAGTTTCCTTACTTATCCTTTAAAGTAAATACATTAAAGGCCTAGAGTATTTTAAAAAAGATAGTAAATAGAGGCAGTATACCCTAGATTACTGCAGGCACCTAATAATAACCCTATTTATATAATCTCTTAGCAATCTATATTACTATATAAATCTAATGTCTAAAGCTATATATATAATAATATTATTTATTTTTATCTATAATTCTAGTATGGTTCTGTACTAATTTTATTATTTTATTATAGTAGTTAGGGTTTAGCTTATTAGGACGTTTAACTTTATTAGTATCTATATAAAGCCTTGTAATATTAGTAATAATAGCAGTCTCCTTAGGACCAGTTTCCTGTCGTTCCAGATATCTAAGTAGTAAGTTAGTAAGTTATTATGTAAAGTCCAATAGCCCTTGACTCGTTAGGTAAGCTTTGGAATATCTTGAAACAGGTAATTCACTAAGCCAACATCCAAAGATATGCCATCATACAACAGATAAGATTCACCACCATATTGAGGGATTTTTTTTAGCTTCACGAATATCTACCCAATACATACAATCTGTCCTCAGCCTTGGCTTTATAGAACTCCTGGTGCCGTGAGCCATGGAAGTGTGGGGTACTGTATCATGGAGTCCCTCCACAAACACTAAGACGGCTCTGAAAACCCAAGTATACAATCCCTTCGCTGTACATCGATTCAGTCAAGACGCCTCAGCTTCCAATAAGATATGTCGCAGATGCACATAAGGCTAATGGAATTGGAAGGCAACCGTTGGCCGTTGCATGTCATTTTAATTCTCACCAAGTGCAGGATAGCCTATTGATCATTGCTGTTAACTGCCGCTGGTCCGGCAAAGCTGGAACTTTTGTATATTTCGTCGCCGAATATGGTGATGAAGGAACATTGATGATACTCACAAAGTTCAAGCTTGCAGGAGTCGATCCCGGCATCATCAACAATTAACGTTAAACGGCCGCAGCACGTTTCGAGCAATTCCGTCCCAGGGCGAGTGAACGTTAGCCTTTCTTACAAGAGGAAATTAAATACGATTTGAAGAAATACTAGATAAGGAAAGTGCTCATTCGACTTATAACAAGGAAACAGTTCATCCGCCAAATACCATGCCGCGTACCTCAATACTGAATCGCCCTTCAGCATTTTCTTGAGTCCTCGGGTCCCTAAATGCAGTATGTGGGGTTTTACAAGCAGTTCCGGAGCCTCCTTCCAATGAATCGCTATCAAAGCACTTGAGTAGTATTCTCTCGCGGTCTGTCATGCCGCTGAGGTAGTACCAGGCTTGGCTAGACCTGTGTTTTATGAGGCCTGCTTCTCTGACTAAGCTTCCATCCATGTACCGATGTTGTATGGGTACCACATCGGCGTTATCGAATGTCGAGGCGGATGCAAAGGCGAGTGGATATGACTCTAGTGGCTTTTTGTTTAATGGTCGCCACACGTTGACAATCCGGTAGCGGCCTTTCAGGAGGCGGTCTGCCTCTGTGGGAAAGAATTGTCGTACACGTTGAATAGCATTGTTGGTCGTGTGATCGATATGGACCCTAGTCAAAGGTCGATGCTGCGCTCCTCCCTCAACTTGGTGGCGCACAGTGTGGTCATAAATGAAGATCTGGAGATCACCTGGCAGTCTTTCCGAGATCAATTGTTGGACCTCTGGATAGTAATTCACCCTGATAGACTCATCATCCGTGAAGTCTATTCCCTCAGATGGCGGGGACGCATCTGTTACAATTTGGAATGCGTCACGGTCTAGGCTGAAAGTGTTTTCAGAGTCGCGGATATCAGATATAATGACATCTACGCTATTGTCTGAAAAGTTGAATTTTGGTGCAATGCCGTCTTCTCTGCTAACGACGAAGTAAGGCTCGGAGCCATTGGCTGGAGCTTCATAGAAGTTTAATGGAACTATGACATCCCCTCGAGGGATTTTTGTTGTGCAGGACATGTTGTGCAGAGGCAAGGTAAAAGACATTACCATGCCCTGAGAGAAGAGCCAAGTATGGGGCTGGAAAGGAAGAGTATTCCCTCTCTAATTAGAGATTTTTACCTTAATATTTATGCTAGTATTAGGATTATTAGATAGTCTCGTTTTCTAGCTATTTATCTTATTATGCAATTATAAATTAATGTAAGTTGTTTCAAAAAGACCTTAGGCAACAAGGTTCTTGTTTATTCTTGTTTACTGATCTAATAAGAGTGTTATTTTTAGTCAATAAACCCACAGCAGATACTCACGTCACGCGCCTTAGACGTTGTTGTTTAACTGGATGATTGCTAAGTCTATTGTTATCTGGCGCATACGTGTTATTATTTTACTGGCAGGTGTAGGTTTGAGGAAGTCACATTGATAGCCTAATTGTCTTAAGTAGCGCGCCTCGAGTCTACGCTACCAACTAGTCCAAGCAGGGCAAAGTAAGGCGGTATTAATTATGAAAGGGAATTTGAAACAGATCTCCCTTCTTACTACCAGGGAATAAACCTGAACACTAAAAAGTATCATGGGACACGAGACAAAAACACGTTGCATTGCGCATTCAGACGTCACATAATGTAACGAAAGTTATCAAACAAGGCTAATCACACTGATACGGGCTATATGAGACATGGCACAGTACGTTACCCTATAATTGGTTTATATTTGAGACAACGAGGCTTAGTAAAGATAAGTGAGACACGGCACAACAATATCTAGCCCTATGAGGTGCCGCTTCTGTACCCTGCACTTGGGGAAAACCTTTAACTTAACTTGGCCTAAGGCAGTTCACACTCGATAAGACACTCATCCGGTAGGTCTAGCTTCCAAATCTTGCTAACGTTCAGACCTGCCTTTTCCTCCAGCAACTTCAGCCAATCGGATTCACTTCTTTCCTGTGAGCAGAACATAGTCATCATCATAATGTCTCGCGCCGTTGTCTCCCAAGACGCATTAGTCGTAGGGACAACTTGCTCGTGGATGAGAAGCCTACTATAACCCTGTTTCATAGCGTGGGTAATGTGACCGAGAATGATCTGGCATACGTCGTCGGGCCAGTCATGGAGGACGGAGTGCATGTAGTATGCACGGGATCCTGGGCTTGTCTCAGTTGCTGTAGAGGTACACCTGTTGGATGGATTCTCTTCTCACCTTTGACGGGCTGCTCTGTGAAAAAGTCATGTTCCATAGCGTAAAAAGTTGGATGCATCTTCTTGACCTGGTTGATGATGGCAGGGAGGTCTTGGAGGATTAACTGCCCCGGTACATGTGGGTAATGATGTTTCAAGTCTCTGAGATCCTGACCAAGACAACCGCCGATGTCTACCCAAAAAGGTGCGTTGGCGGCTGTTTCGGCACCTTCAATCAGTCGCTGGTCGATCGGATATCGGCCAGTTGATATCCACGGTGTTGGATGATAACCGACCATGTGGTCATTGAAGTGCGACCCGTAGCCTTGAGTCTGAACCCAAGAAAACATATCCTGATCTGTTTTATACGCATACATCAAGGCAGTATCCTTCGAGTCAATGGGGTTCCTCCATCCGCTCTTACGAGAGTACTCGTGGAACTTGAGCGAGGCGGCACCGGTAGTGCAGGTCCTACAATTATCGTCAGTGCCATAATCATGTTGTAGGTGACATCAGTGGACAAACTCACAGTCCGATTAGTCCGTTGCCAACCGTAGGGATACTCAATGATTTTGAGAAGACGGTGGGCTGATACTCATCAGGTCCAGTTTCGTCAATGTAACCCATAGCACCTAAGTGGCGCAGCAAACGAGCTTGTAAATGTACGTTAGATGAACCAAGACCTATGTGATAAGGGGCTGATCAAGTTACCGAGGAGAACAGGGTCTGCTCCAATTTCATTGGCCAATTCCTGGACAGTCTGTGGTCTGTCGCCATTTTTAACCATAGCTTTCCACAAGCCGCTGTCGACGCCAAAGGCAAGAGCTCCGATAGAGCTGGTCTTTTCACAGTTCAAGGATAAGTAAAAGAATCGTTTGAGCTATAACAGACATACCATTGTCCAACAGTGCCTCAGAACTGTCTCTCGAGGGGTTTCAACAGCTGAAGTCAGAGTCCTCAGTTTGACTAGCAGCTCTTGCCGAGCATTCAGGCTTCCGGCGGTGAAGGCATCGGCAGCTGAGACAACGTCATGGATGAGCTGAGGAACTGCATCGGGGTTGCAGGGCTTTTCGACATCTATGCTAACATGACCGTCGGGGGTGCATTCGGAAAGGCCTGTTAATTCCATGGTTTGTGTTCGCGACTTTAAACCTGAGCCTAAAGAGGGATAATGAATTAGGATCTAGTATGACTCTTTTTCAGGGATACAACTTGTCCAACTCACAGTTATTTATACTTGTGGACCAACAGAAGTGATTACGATGGGGTCCAAATGAGGCTTTTGGAATAGGGAGAATTAGTTCACCTAGTAATCTGGCATTTTTTCATGTAACAGTTACTTATGAGCCCGCCCAGGCGTGTTTCTATCTTAATAAGAAGTCAATCATTAGTTGCATTTGCCCAGAGTACTAACAGTTCTCTATATTAATGTGAAGCTTACAAGCTGCAACTCTACACCATTTGCAGCATCTGCCTCTACACAAGCATTCTTGATCTTTATTACAATGAGCACGCCCAAGCCACTAAAGGTCGCTATTGTTGGCGGTGGAATTAGCGGAATCTGCCTTGCCATCGGCCTCCTTGAACAGCCTCAGTTAGAGCTGACCATCTTCGAAGCTTCGCCCACGTTCACTGAAATTGGGGCTGGACTGGCACTTGGGCCCAATGCTCAAAGAGCTCTGCAACTGCTATCTCCTGAGGCTGAAGCTGCATTCTGGCATTTCGCCACTGGAAACTCTTCACCCGAGTTCAACAAGACATGGTTTAACTTTCGACGCCAAGCTCAAGGCCATGAAGATGGTCTGGAGCTTGGATCCATAGAAAACCAATCTGGACAACAAACCGTTCATCGGGCAAAGTTCCTGGATGCACTCATAAATCTTGTCCCCAAAGACAGGGTACAATTTGGAAAGAGACTACTACGAATCTCTGACCATGGTGCATATACCGTGCTGCACTTTGCAGACGGGACGGCAGCGAGGACTGACTGTGTGATTGGAGCCGATGGTGTTCATAGCACCGTGCGCAAGTACCTACTTGGCGCCACATCACCTGAAGCAACGCCAGTGTTTTCTGGGATCGTCGCCTATCGCGGTTTGATTCCCATGGAGATCGCCAGGCACTCCTTGGGTAAATACGCCTCTGACGCGTACTTATGGTGCAGCAGTGAAGGGATGGTCATGAGCTATCCAATCAACTCTGGCCAAGTTGTCAACGTGGTTGCAGCGTGCTACAGAGAATCTTGGAACGAGAAGTTGTATGTGCTTAATACTACATTGGAACAGATGAGAAAGGATTTTCAGAGTTTTGAGGGTATACCCCAAGAGATTATCAAGGTATATCCTATCGCCATGCCTTCTTTTTTCGATGACCCTCGACTGACATTTGATAAGCTATTAGGTAAGCCCATGATATGGGCAATGTTGGAGCATCTGCCAGCAGCACAATACAATACAAAAAATGTTGCCATAATAGGCGACGCCGCTCATCAAAGCCAGGCAGCTTGTATGGCCATTGAAGATGCAGCTGCGCTTGGAATTCTCTTTAACAAGACATATTTCAAAGGGGATGTGTCTGAGGCACTCTCAACATATGAGAAAGTACGTCTCCCGCGGGCAACAAAAGTCCAGGCAGCTGCTGCAAGGGCGTCAGAGAACATCAACGAGCGAATCGGTAAGTCAAACGTGTCCTGGAGAGCTTATCACTACAGGAGCACTGACTTCCAATTAGGATTCTCCAGTAATGTCGAGAATCCAATATATAAAGTAAAGAGTGAGCAGGGGAAACTTACCATTGAAGAAATGAATGCGTAAGACTATAGCTCCATTTCAAATTCTTTGTCTAACAGATAGTAGGTACGATATGCACATGGACATCAGGGAGATAGTGTCCAAGAAGACGGGACACGCATTCTCATGCAAGTATATTCGTGGCTTGCCTATAGGTCTTAAGCTGTCGAATGGATTTACTGTGGGGGAGGGCAATTGTTTTTCTGACTAGAGTCTCTATTTTACCGGTATTCGGTCTGTCGTTGTTGTATATGGCCTACCCTGTGAGCCAGATGCGTCTTTTGCATTTTGTAGCTCAGAGTTTACAATACATTGAACTTGGGCATTTTGCTCCAAGCTTCGCCAACTGGAGTTCCTTCGAACCTTTACAGCTCTACGGAGTATACATAATTTTCTATAGGTGCGGTGCAAAAGAACAGAGCGGGGTTTCTAAGACAAAAGGACGCTTTTAGTTAGGAGCATTTTCAGACTTCCATTCATGTGCGTTATCGAGTGTGATTGAGTAGAATAAAAAAAGTCTTTCGATAGCTTCTGCCGCTTAGCTGCCCGGGAACTGAGCCAACGCCTGAGCCAACAACTGAGACTTGCAGCCGTGGTCACATCAGGCGCGCTAATAGTCAAGTCACCCCTTCTCGCGACCAAAAGGTGTATACGCACTGAAATATCAACGTCATCAATCACGAGGCCGCTACAAGTGTCTCAGAGGAGCTCGGAGCAGGTTGACCATGGGCTGCTGGCATTCGACTGTGATATCGCCAGTTTGAATATGCTACGAAAGGGACATGGGCTTTCAGTTTATGCATATATACATATTCTCCACAGAGACACGGATCGTTATCCCCCAGAAGCAAGTATTGAGCCGCTACCTAGGTCAGATCTGGCTCTCCATATCTGTCCTACAATAAATGTTATCCGTACTACAAGATAAAAAGGAAAAAGCCATACGTCAACGATTCCAACCGCTTGTGTATCCTCGTGTCATTTAGTAGAATGTTTGTCTCTTTACAACCTGAAAAAAGGCAGACAAGTCTGGCGATCGTATCCTCGCTAATTATTTCCAAATCACAGAGGCAAAATGCGCTGGGAATTCCTAGACAAGCAACAGGCAGCGCTGGTTCTGGCCCTCGGAATCACTTCTATACTGATTCATCATCTGTTCTCTAAATACTACCGACTGTACCACATCCCCGGGCCTCTTATCGCAAAGTTAACTGATCTCCATCGCTTCTTTTGCGTGCGGTCTGGCTTCATACACCTCTATCATGCCAAAGCCCACGAGCGATATGGCCCCGTTGTGCGTTTCGGGCCTAATATGGTTTCGGTCTGTGATCCAGACGCCATCCAGATGATCTTTCACAAGAGGAATGGATTTGACAAGGCATGTGGTTCCGATTTCACTCAAAACCACTTTAGGTGCCATTATCTGACCAAAACAGAGCAACATGTATCGTGCCTTTAGACCATGGACCCCTGATGGCCTGCTGCTCTCCGTCTTCACTGCAAACAACGACGAGAAAAATCGACGGATGAAGCAGCACATCGCCATGTACTTTTCTCTTTCATATGTCGTATCAACGTTCGAGAAAAGAATCGACAGGACAATCAACATGTTTCTCAATCAACTCGCCCAACAGTTCGTGGCCACAGGTGCGAGCTGTGACTTGACACAATGGTTCAAGTTCTTTTCCTACGATGCCATGGGTCAAATGACATTTTCTCGCGCGTATGGATGTATTGAGCATGGGAATGACTCTATTGGTATCATCTCTGATGTCAAGAACACCATGCTTGCCATTGGACCTGTAAGTCACATGAGCATAAACATAATCATGATTCAATGAGGCTGAGCTGTGAGAAGATGACGCAAGTTCCGTGGCTCGATTGGCTCTTGCACAAGAATTGGCTACTTAACTCAATCAAGCCCGAACCTGTTTCTTGTCTCCTGATGTACGTGTTGAAACGTATTGCAGAGCGTAAAAACAACCCAACGAAGTTTCACAATAAAGTCGACGCCGGTCCTGACCTCAACAGCGATTTCCTTGGCTATTTCATACAAGCCCAGGAGAAGGAATCCAACGAGGTACCTCCTCGGTTTCTTTCAACATGGACCTTGGCCAATATTCTGGGAGGATCTGACTCGACAGCCTCTATGCTTCGGTCAGTTGTCTGTTTTCTTGTGGAAAACCCTGACGCATTGCAAAATGTGCGGGATGAGCTACAGAACAAGCAACGAGACGTCACAGGTTTCTCACTGCCTGTCCCAAAGTGGAACGAGCTACAAAACCTCCCTTTCCTGGATGCCTGTATCACCGAATCCCTTCGACTCGACCCCCCATTTGCCACATCTCTAGAACGGATTGTTCCCCCAGGAGGCATGACAGTCTGTGGTCATTTCCTTCCAGAAGGTACAGTGGTAGGTATGAACCCATATACCACGAATCGTTACAGACCAACTTGGGGTGAGGACGCAGACATGTGGCGGCCAAGCCGCTGGTTGGAGGGTGATCTGGCGTATAAAAGAAAGCTAGAGGCCAGTTTATTAAGTGTGAGTTCCGTGTGTTTCTGTTTAGATACGTTCAGTATCTAATTATCATTTAGTTTGGGGCTGGTACGCGTACTTGCCTTGGCCAGAATGTTGCAATGTTTGAAATCAAGAAGCTTGTAGTAGCTCTTGTTATGAAATATAATGTAAGTTTAAATCATATCATCACTAGCAGGCACTGATGGTTGCAGTTCAAGCTTATCAAACCCCGAGAAAAGAATAACAAGTATTCTTGGATCATAATGCCAGAAACTGTTGAGGCAACAATCAAGTCTTCCGCGAGCTAGTCAAAACAGCTAAGTCTCCAGTATCTAATATCTTCTCTTCAAGATCAAGTCTATTATGGAATGGGGTATGGTTGACCTCACGATACAAAATCCATTTCTCAATGGGAAAGTACGCACATACTGTTGTTCCGTTCTCGGGTTGGTAGTACCTTAGCTAAACGATACCAAAACTTAAAGCAACTTGAATGAAAGCCATCATAGGACTTGAAGAGCATTTTGCAAAGCCACCTTCTCATCTTCCTTGCATTTTCTCATCTCCTCCTCAAGTGCCGGTCGGAGTTTCTGCCGCACTTCCTTCCAGACAGGACCTCCCTTGTCTGTAGCAAGTTGATCGAGAAGAAGTCTGAGAGTAAAGGGGGATCGCGGAGTCTTTAGTGTTTCTACCAAATTGGTCACCATTGAAAACATTGCAGCCTGATCGGTCAGGTCTTCGCGGGTCACCTTTGGTGTTTTCGAGTCCCTGATTTGCGCTGTCAATATATTTCGCCGTTCACGCAATGCCGCTGATGTGGTGTCTCGAGTACGTTGCTTCTTTTCCTCGAACCTCGACGGGGAGATGTGTTTGTTGTTGCGGTAGCCATCGAGGTTAGTCCCCAAAGCGTAGGACCTGCGGCTTGTAGCAGCCATGTTGTCATAAGTCCCTTCCATGGACTTGGTACGTGCCTCGACTTTCTGTTTCACCCCAGTCGGAATATGGGAGCTGTCGGTAGTGTCTGTTGGCTCAGCCCGGGGTATGGATCCCATCTTCCACGTGCGACAAAGTTCATGCTCGTATTTTCGCTGCTCCTCCAATGACACAGGCTCCTTGTTCGAAAGGCCAGACATGGCGGGTTCACGTCCCATTGGGCCAGTAACCGCAGGCCAAGAAGTCGCTTGGATGGCTGGCTGAGCCTTAGTAGCGCTGAGAGTCCAATCTGGGGCTTGATAGGTCTTTTCAGGCCTCAAGGCCTGTGACTTCACTGTGTCAGACTCCCATATATTAGCAACCTTGGTGGATGAAGGGCCAGACGTGAATGCATGTGAGGTTGTTCTGCGCGGAGTCCAAGTTGATTCTCCAGCCATGATCCTTTGTACCAACAGGTTAATAAACGTCTGACAATTTCTGTTGAAGACGCTATAGCTTTCGTAAAGCTCATGTGTACAAAGAGTAGTGGCTGCGATAATAGTTAGTAATGTTAAAATCTATGCAACCTCTTTCGGCTATGGGCAAGGACCTACTACATTGGACAATTGATTCATTGTCCCAGCTTGTGAATTTCCCCGTCTTCTCATACTTGATGCCTCCTTGCGGCTCGGTTTCTTCACGCTTTTGTCGTGTACGATGAAGAACAATGATCCCGCCGTCTGAGCTCCGTCCGAGCTCTACACAGAGTCCTTGGCGTGTTTGAACGTCTTCTTCAGTCTCGACGTATATCCCCCAATGCTGAACTGATGAGGTTGGGATGTAACGCCCGAGATAAACAGGACCGGAGACGGGGACACCTGTCCCAGCTGGCACTGTAAATATCGTAATATGTCGCCATATGATTTTCTGGGGCTCCATCTTGTTTGTGTTTGACTTGACCGATGACTTGTGATCTTCTTCCTAGTTGGATACTCTAGACAGCATCTCTCCCTCGTTTATTAACCATCCGTCAGCCAAATTGCGGCCCAAAGTTGTACAGGGCACGCCATTGGGCTTCCATCCAATCACCGATGCAGCGTTCCCAGACCTCAAAAGCTGTTAAATACAACAGCCTGATTCCACAGATGCCTCAGGCATAATGACTGACAGTGCGACCTTTACCTTTTGAATCAGGCTCTACTCATAGAATCAGATTACAATAACAATTTTCACACATACAGAATAAAATGTCGTGGACTGAGATAAACAACATTCTTCGGTCTTGCATGGCCTATATTGGGGACACAATTCGCTCTCTTTCGAAGTTGGCCACCAAAACCGTCGAGACGGGCTACTCACCTTGGGGAGTCTGGGAATGCACAGCCAAAAACCTGCTCCAAGCGCCACAGTCACATCGGAGCGAAGTCTTTCAACATTTCCTCCATACCAAGCAACGAGAGCTTGAAATAGTAATCATATCTGTATGTGTCATCCGCCCCAACAATCAGCTCACATAATCTAAGTATTTTCTGATTATCTAGAGTGTTCTAGTTGCTACCCTCGTCGGCAACTTGATGTCGTGGAATTGGTTCCCAGTTCCTCCATGTACTGCAAAGATCGCCATGCTTTGCGCACTTATCCATGCGCTTCTAGGCACCTCGATTGCCACACAACAGTTCCTGATAATGGCTCAAATCTCAATCAGCCCACACCGTGACAAGGCATTACTATGCGCAATTCTCGGATCAGATCCTGGCAGTTGCACTTCTCCATTGCCTCGGCCCAAGCGTCTGACATCGTTCTCTTGGCAAGCCCCTACTATGCTACTAGGGAACAGCATAGTATTTTTGCTGGTCGGCATTTCGATCCACATATATGACGCTGCCCAAACTGCTGGAAAATGGGGGGCTGACATAGTAACAGCGCTTTGCTTTACTATATCATTGGTCTTTGCAGTCACCACATACTTTATTCATTGGATCGTACTATACTGGGTGGTTGATACTGAGCTACTGGCCTAACGAGGGTGTTCACTATTCAAAGAAGCTATTCTATGATATACATAGTTAAGCTTCACTTTCGGCGTCACGCTCCTCGATGCCGTCATCCTCCATCTTCAAGGTGTAAGCCCTGCCATATGCATTCTGGGGATCTCACTTTTTGAATCCATCATCCTTCATCTTGAGGGTATAGAACTTCCTGTATGCATCCTGAGGGTCACGCTTCTCGAAACCGTCGTCCTTCATCTTCAAAGTGTAGGCCTTGCCATATGTGTTCCTCTGAGGCTCACGCTTGTCAAGATCATCTTCCAAGATGTACTTATTACCATAAGTAGGAGGCGAAATAGGATTTGCCTCTCGCTTATCAAGGTCATCATCCAAGATGTACTTATTAGCATAAGTAGGAGGCGAAATAGGATTTGCCTCTCTCTCAGCAATTTCATTGCCTAACCTAAAGGTTAACTTGTATTGCTTGCCAGGCATAATCTGACGTACCGGGAAGAGGGCTTGCAATTGCAAAGCTGCAGAGTGCAGCGGTGCTGAGGATCTGAGAGAACTTCATTGTGGCTTGATTTGCTAGAAACTGCTGTACTGTGATACTTGTTTCTTCGTGAGCTGGATCTTGTAGGGGATGATTTCAGTATTAAATACAATACTTTATCGTCTACTCTTTCGCACAGCTCGTATATTTGTTCAAATCGGGCACTACTGGGAACGGAAGGTCTTTTCGTTGCGGGGTAGATAAGGTTCGAATATCCAACGAGATGCATTGAGTGGTGGACCTCAACAGAAGTTCTCGTAACGATACGTCACCACATATCTTGTTTTGGTGTAGGATGGTGATGCCAGAGTCCAAAGGCATCGCGTCAAGGGAAGACGTCTTACCGGAACTCGGCATCTGTCTCCAAAAGTACCCACTTTGATATCCTCTTGGGAAACCCGACATCTGTCTCGGATTGCTGTGCCGGATTGATCGGCATCTTACACCAAAAGTACCTTTGATATTCTGCTTGCGGAAGGTGGTTTAGTTTTGGCCCCCAGATTTGGTGATGATAACAAAATGCAACAGGGCATCGGTGATAAAGCAATCCCGTTGCTCAATTTTCAGCTCATCTCTCATAGCATTAGTCTTCTGCAAAACTGAGAGTCCTGGGTTATTTCTAAGCCTCTCAGTCTGCTCTCCGACAGGTTCTATGAACATAGCCAAAGTCATGTCATTCAAAGAAGACAGAGGCTCTGATGAGAGTCTTCTGGGCAGTGAAAGAGAGAGTGATGAGATCGAATGGACTCGACCAAGCAAGCGACAAAATTGGAGAACGCGTGCTTGGGTGGTTCTTAATCTTCTTCTCTTTCTGATTTCTCTCGGTCTTTTCGTCGCTGCGTCCCTCAGGTCCAACTCAGAGTCGGAGATGGATTACATTCGCAAGATTTCTTTTTACTGTGAGCTTCTCCTCTTTCGCTTCGATGTCAGTCCTTGACTAACTTCTATCGCAGCACCTGTCCTGGACTCCATCAACTTCAAGATGAGACCTATTGAGACAGAGGGTGGCTTATTCGAAGCAAAGAACCCTTCCAAGTGGCGCAACTCCCTCAAGCCTGATCCCGAGGTTGATGAAGCATGGGAAGATCTTGAGATCATCCGTGTTTTCCCCATCACCGAGACCGAGGTTCGTCGACTGGGCAAAGACCCAGAGCTCCTCGTCAAGTTCCCCGAAGAGTATGGTCTTGGTGATAATGCCTACATGGCCCAGATCGACATGTTCCATCAGATCCACTGCCTCAACCTTCTCCGGCATCTGGCTTGGGCTGAGTATAGCCGCAATGGCACGGCAAAAAAGCCTTTCAGCGACTTGCACTGGATTCATGTGAGCCATTGCACCGACATATTGATGCAGAACCTCATGTGCAATGGAAATCTGGACATCATCACCTTCAACTGGGTTGAGACTCAGTCGAATCCATTTCCAGACTTTGCTGTCAACCATCAGTGTAGAGATTTTGATGCGATATACGAATGGCAGGATAAACACTCAGTGCCAAAGGAATGGGGACGGAATGTCACTCGCCCAGCTGGCGCAAAGCAGATCCCAATCAGCGAAGAGTATTATCGCATATATGGGATTGAGAAGCCTCAGGTATCTACAACACCATAGTTACACAAATAGCTTCAATTTATGTTCCTTTCTCAGCAAGCATCGAGAGTTACAGTGCGTAACCGTGTACTCACTGCGCAACATCAGAAGCATCTGATTCTCTAAGTTACATCACCTAGAATTCTTTAAGTACACTTCGCCAAAATAACATTAAGTAGTGGAATCATAATGATCTGTTTTAAAGATAGAGTCTCTAGAGTATATACCTGGGTGCTTATCGCTGAAGCCTTAATAAAGAATTCAGAGATTTCCCAAACTGACCTACACCTTTTTCGACTGACATGAGCCCCTCTGACAGCCTGAACATCAAGTAATATTGTCCGGGAGGTTCTTGATCCAATATGGCTCAGTTCCTTAGGCATGAGCCTTAGCTGTTCATCGACATCCGGTTCGCTTCGAGCTCAAACAGACCTTTCGGTGTCCCCCATTCTGTGGCGAAGAACCTGACACAAACTTGCAACATCCAATCCTCCTCTCGCACTTCTCTTCAATCAGAATAGCCACGGCGTGTGCTGTATTATACGTGACATCTGGAGCAGAACGATAGGGTCCAACCCTCAATCTGCAACCACCATGAATAGCGGCAAGCCTTGTGTCTCCTATGTTTATCTTGCTCTTCAGCATATTACTCATGAGCTCCTGGCAATCCGATTGAAACGCGAGATAGTTGGCTCGGTCGCAGTTTATCTTGAACGTAGCACGTTTGGCAAGGTTCTCGTCCGGAGTTGCGTCCACAATCGCCTTGGTGAGTTCTGAGTGGGTATAGTCGTTGCTAGCACTGGCGTACAAGGCAATAGCTTCAGCGTATTGAACAGGAGCATTGACCTTATAGCCGGCTGCATCTTCCTTGACGATATCCAAGATGGTGTCATTTTTATCTTCGGTGATACCATCCTGGACGCCTCCCTCCATGTGGAATCTGGCCCATATCGCATCGCCATATCTCTTGCTCCGGATAGCTTCAACGTATCTGCTAGACCAAGGCTCGATTAATGGCCATATGGACGTGTTTTGAAGAACATCGTTGATGGGGATATCCAAAAAGAGCTGTTCTGGCAGATGGGAGGAGTTAGTCTGTGCAACAGCATGCTGTGCACCCAGTAGAAGAGTTAAAGTCAGAATTCGAGAAAGCAGCTTTAGGTTTGAATTGAATGATGATGATGATGATGGTTGTTTGGCGACTTGGACAAAACCATGAATTGGTTCATTCCAACCTTTTTATACCGGGGCAGCTCTTGACCAAAAAGCAAGACACTTTCCTTCTCGGCTCACTTGTGCCACACGACAAGGGCTCATGGTACTGAATGTGATGATATGTTGTTGGTTGTTAGTTGCTCATGAGCTTTGCCGCAATCCTTCGGCCAGGATTGAGATGTTGGCTCTTAAATAACAAGGGTAAGTATATCAGGCAGAGAACGTAACAGAAAGTCTTTTGCATCATAATCAAACGCACACAAATAAAAGCACTATCATTATTGCGGCTTGGCGTCAACATGTTAGGGAGAGTGAGATATGTTATGCGAATGATGGGTTACCTGTTTCATCGGGTTCTTGTCAAGATTAAGCATTCAATATCTAGAGCTATCTGTACTGCTTCGATTGGCCTTATCTTATCCAGGATTGTTCAATCTATGACCGTATTTAGTCACATTGGCAGGGTCAATACGAGACTTAACGTGCCATCTTGACATTAATGCCATAAAATTTCAAGACTCTGTTGGTCCTCATAATGTGTTGGTTATGATTTCTGTGCACTAGCCGCGATCAGAGGCCTTTATTACTTCGTCCGATTGGCTGAATTAGGCACGTGCAATCCTCAAATGCCGACACATCCGAGTTATCGTTCTTCTGGGTATGTTTTGTAAGTTATGTGCTCCTCTTTAACGCTGGCTTTTGCGACTGGGCAAGGGCACATCCTCGGATTTGATGCTATGAAACTATGGGTCGTTCAGACCCTTGTACATACAATGATTCCCTTCAAAAAGTCCAATGGGTAATCTGGCCTTCCCTGCTCACTCACACCGCCTCTTCTTCCCTTCTCTATCTTCTTCTCTACACTATCAGTCTCGAGGCTCCATCCTGTCAGTATCAAAGATGATCTTGATGACCTCTGGGTGCCCGTCTGCACCACTAGTCGCTCGGTAGAGCTCCAGAGCCTCTGCCCATAACCCTGGTTCATTCGTCTTAGCTTCAACTGCATCCTCCCTGATTTGATCAAGGATCGTGATATCAGGATTTGGGCCTTGGCCAATGATAACGCCGTTTTCTACCCCTCCATCGATGCAGTAGCGAGCCCAAATTGCGTCCCCGTATCGTTGCTCTCGAATCGAATCGATATACATTGTCTTCCATGGCTCGACAAATGTCACCATTGTCTGTGTCAGTACTTCATGGATTGAAATATCAAGGAACAACTCCTCTACTGGGCGCATGATATCCGGCTTGCTCATTTTGTACTTGCTTTGTGTCAATATGCTACAAAGTCCAAGAAAGGGATATAGCCTGCAATAGTCAATTTCGTCAAGAGCTAGGATTTTGATGATAGCCGATGAGATGGAAATAGATACTCACGTTATTAAGATAGAAGACTAAACCACACGGAGAAGGGCAATGATAGAATTGCTTGAGTAGAGAGATTGACGAGATGGTGGCGATGAAATAATTCCTGGGGCGGCGGGGGCTGTTGCTTTTATCTTAATGGAGGCTGTAAGGCAACGGGCTGCAGTTGGCGAACTGGCAGGGGTTGTACTGTAATTGGGCTAGACCTCTTAACATACCATACCTTGCTTGCCACAACCTTATAAGGCTCATGGCTCACATACTTACTTAAATGCCTATGTTTAAGCTAGAAGTGGGCTTCCAAATAGAATCGGTATATATAAGCAAGTTTTCAAGTCCTAGAATAGAATCATGCTTTCTTACAAAATAAGCATAATGGTAGAGTGGATGTTACTTTTCTTACGAGCGGGGTACTCACTCCGTTGAAATGGGTGTGACAGCTAAGACATAAAAATAAAATAGATAAAGGCTATAGCTTCTTTATGATACTTATAATCTACTATGAGTGCAAAATAAAGCTCATTAAGAGTCATGGAGGGTTCTATTCTAAAAAGGGAATGCTACATTCCGCTTGCTCATTACAAAGTAATCTGAACTGTCTTCGACATGCTAGGAGTGCCCTGGGGCGACATGACAAAGAGATAGTAATAGCCAGGCAGAAGGATACCATTGTCCTTGGGTAGCTTGACAGTATACTGGTTGCCCTTGACTTGGAAGTCGGTGAGAGGGACGCGCCTCTGGTCGCTGTTGACGGAGTGTGTAGCGCTTCCCATACGAACAAGAGACATCTTGACCTTGCCAGAAGTGTTGGTGACGTTGAACTTGAGAGTGCTGCCCGCTTTCACAGGCTTCTGGGCAAGTTTCTGGATGATAGGGCGCTTAGCAGTGGAGCCGTCCTTGTTGAACAGATAAGGAGGTTGGAAGATCTCTGCATCAGCGTGGTCAGCTGTCTTGTCGCAGCCAGCTGTTGAACCACCAATCTTGGCAACGTAGCAGAGGCCACCACCACCAATGAGCACTGTGGCATCAGGCAACAGAATAGAGACAGAGTGGTAGTTGCGGGGAACAGCGTGAGGCGCAAGCTGGGTCCACTTGTTGGTGGCAGGGTTGTAGAGCTCAGGGACCAGGATACCGTCCGTGTTGGTGAATACCATTGCCTTGCGTTGGCCTCCAGTCACAAGAACAGTTCCATCGGGAAGAACGACAGCGTTGCCGAAGCCACGAGGGAAGGCCATGTCAGCGACACGCTTGACGGAAGCAGGCTTGTAAGGCGCTCCAATGGTGGTGATATGAGCACGCTTGTTGGCATCGCTTGCGGTGTAGTCCTGGGCACCACCAGCTGATAGAATCTTACCAGCAACGGCATCGTACATGACAAAGATACCGCACATAGCATCAGCGTTATCTCTCTTACCAGACTTGACGATTGATCCCTTTTGCTTGGTGCCGTACCAATGCTGTTCCTTGCTGGGGCCGGCTTGGAAGACGCTGCCATCTTTCCAACCAAAGAGCCAAGCGTGGTTATCCTCTCGCCATATCCCCTCTCGATCCTTGGTGAGCATGGGCTTGACGTCAGCGCCAGGCAGCATGGTCCAATTGTTGGCCTTGGGGTCGTAGACTTCGCCGTTCTTTCCCTCGCGGGGACCTGAGTAAGCCCCTCCAATAGTGAACACTCTGCCATCAGAAAGGATGGTAGAAGTCTGATAGCCACGAGGAATCTTCATGTCGGGTCCTCGAGTGAATGCGTTGGTCTTGGGGTTGTAGAGCGTCACAGCCTCAGCATCGGAACCACCCTGGATCAGGATGCGTCCGTCAGCAAGTTGGCTCATTCCAGGACAGAACATATCGTGGTGAGTATCAGCGACCTCGCGCTGTCCGACGGCACCTGAAGGAAGGTCAAGAACTCCGAATTGGGTACGACCAGAGGCACCACCGAAAGCGTCAGCGCCCCAGGATGAGAAGAAAAGAAGCTTTTGCGATTGAGGGAATTGGGGAACAACATAGGCGGCAACGGGAATGACAGGGAGACGGATGAGATCAGACCATTTGCCTTGTGATGCAGGCTTAGACTCGACTGGGGAGTGAACGACGCTGTATCGCTTGCTCTGTACCCAAAAGAGCGACGCCTTGGGCTCGGTCTCTTTGATGTGGCAGACCTTCTCCTGCTTGTCGTAAACGGCTTTCTTACATGTCTTGATACCAGAGCAAATATCAGCGCACGCAGCCAGAGAGGCGCAGTTCTTGGTCATTCGAGCTGTCGGGCCGACGTAGTCGCTGTTGTGGCAGACGTTGAAAGTCTTGCCGCCCTTGGAGCGGTAGTTGTTGGTTGGGTTGGGGCAACGAGAGATGAAGACTCCCTCGTTGACGTTCTTGACTCGGATTGTGTCAAACTTGGCGTCTGACGCCCAGTTCATCTGGGCCTCGTTGGCGTTGTCCTTGACGTGACAGATGCGATTTCGCTTATCGTACACAGCCTTGACGCATCGTGGGTCCTTGCTGCAGATTTCGGCACAGGCATTGGTAGATTTGATGTCACGAGCGACCTTGAGACTGCTTCCACCGTATCGATAGTCGGTATTGCGGCAAATGGTGTACTCAGTGCCGGTCTTGGATGTCCACGATGCTTCTTTCGATGGGCACTGCGTGAGAGCAGCAGAAGAGAATGGAGTAATCAGTAGGGCTGCTAGAGCCACGAATGTAAGTTGAACCATGTTGGTTCAGTCAGGAGATTTGAAGGGTGATGTCGATATCGAGGGAATGTTTGTCGTAGTTGTCAAGTCAGCGAAAGATTATTAGTCGGTTGGTGTAATTATTAGATTATCGAGAACCACAAAAAGAAAAAGAATGACGATTCAGCAATTAACGAGTGTCTGAATGAAACAAATGTCGAAATAGAGAAAAACGAAAGAAAGACTCGGATAGCGAGTGCAGAGAGGAATGGTCCTGTCTGACGCTAGCAGAATAAAGAAGACCAGGCAAAGCTTTTATGTTTCAAGCTTAAAAGGTTCCCTCAATGAACCATGTAGCCACGATCTCAGCTGTGGCTATGTTTAGACCGAGAAACCCTGGCTGTATGGACGGAATTCTCGTTCCCTGCCCTGTCACTTTTCCCCTATCTGGTGGAGCTACCGGTACCTGACACTAAGCTAAGCACAAACGAAGCTAAACGATGCACTCGGACCCACGCCAAGCCGCTGCCAAGCTGTTTGTGGATGAAATACGAGGCCTGAAATACTACATAAGCGGTTATGTCCGTTTGTTCAGGGTCCTACGCGCCTAGGAAGACAGAGGGATGATACCATTATCGCTGGACCTGCTATAGCACTTAGGACTCAGATTAGTTCCCGCCATGGTTGCTCTGTGCGTGGGTACATAAGCATCTAAATCGGCGGACACAGTCAAACATCCCAGACACCAAAGTGATATCACTCGAGTAGTATTGAGAAAGTGACTGATAAGTACGATTACGCTTTGGCATGCTCAACGAACTCATAGACCTCAAGTTACCTATGATTAGAGTAGTATAGACTCCGTATCATTACGCGCTTCCTCTGTGTAATTTAAAAGAAAGCCGTGCTTAAAAGCTTAATATTATAGCTTTGCTATTGCGTCGTGAGCTTGATCTAACGTAATTGTAATTACTATAGTAATTATTCCTTTACTTTACCTTAAGGTAATAAAGTCTTTCTTTACTAAGAATACTATCTTTACTGTATAGACTACCTAAGAATGTATATTTAGTATAAAATAATTTGTTAGTAATAGAGTTGTAATTTAATATAGCCTTAATTTATTATACTATATTAAATTCTGGATTTTCTCCTCTCTCTTAACTTTAGGGTAATGTTCGGGTTGCGGGTTAGCCGGTTTTATCTGGACTCGGCTTAAGCAGGGTTAAATCATCCGGGCCGCGGAGAATCTTCGCCGAATACCGAGGCCACCGATCGGAACTTTTATTTTGGGCAGCCGAGCCCGTTTCCACTGTCGCTACTCTGTATTTCCATCACCCAACCCAAGTTCCCTGCACTCGCATCATGTCTCTGCAGCTTCTCAAGCGACCAATTGCCCTTGTATCGAAGGCTCCGATTTCTCAGCTTCGTTTACGATCTGACCAGGCACAATCGAACAATGATCCTCCTTCGTTTCCCTCTCGATGGTTCGCTGACCTGCAAGATCAGCTAAAGAGGTTCACCAGCGATAGCTACCCAGCTAGCTGTGTTGAAGAAGCCAAGAGACAATTGGTGTCAAATGAACAAAATTGGCTGCAACTCTTGGCAGGACAGCAAGGATTTCTCACCGATAAGAGATGGCGGGGCCTCGATAACCACCAGCTCCTTTGGGGTGACATGGTAAGCAGTTTCTTACCAGTGATAAGTGTATGATTCCTGATAATTCTCGTTATTTAGGATAGCATGGTAGGTGAATCCCCCCTGGATTTATTGTAGGACTAAATCTAATAGTCTCAGGGTAAGTAATACAACATTCTATCACACTTTGGAGATCTGATCAGTCTGACGTAGCATAGGCCATGTCAACAACGTGATGTATAACCGCTATGTTGAGACTGGACGGGTGCATTTCATCCGGCAGCACAGTGAAGATGCAGCACAGGACCACAAGGCTCAATGGGACGATCTGGTAACACCACGCAGCCTTGGTCTTATTCTCAAAAGCATCACGACGGAATACAAATTTGTATGAGTACCTCATTAGCTCCAGGGACATGCAGACTGACTAATCGCGTGCTATAGCCTCTTGAGTTCCTAGACCATATCACTGTATTGTACAAGCTGATCGAAGCTCCTACCAATGAGTCAACATCACTTAAGATGGAAGCTTGGATTCTATCAGAACAATACCGCCGCTTGGCAGCACGATGTATCGACGATACTGCCATATATGACTACACTGCCGCGAAGAAGACGGTCTTGAAGCCATTCATGGTAGATAAGTTTCAGCAAACATTTAGTATGCAACAAGCAAACCAGAGGAAGTATACGGATCAGGCAAGAAGAGCAATCCAAGCAGCTGAGGAGCTCCAGATAAAGTACAAATAGCTATGAGTCTCTTTTCTATGGGAACTTCGTATACGATCCCCTTATCCGTCAAAGTCCTTAGTTCAGGCCCTTCTTATCCTTAACTTGTTGCGCCAAGCGATTCAAGTCTGCTGGCCACAGCGGGTCCTTTTCAATTCCATGAACAACCTGGTCAATCAAAGCAATAGCCAGATCATCTAAAACCACGGCCTCGGCGGTGCTAATACCTAAACCTCGGGATATAGCCGTCTGAGTATTGACCAGAATCCCACCTTTGGGAGGAATAGAACCGGGTTTAGCTATCACCGCTTCTACCGCGCCATCGCTATCCTTCGCGAACGCGACAACTTGGTTTTCTGCTGTGGCCTAGGCTCAAACACATTAGTAAGCAAATAAAGCAGTTCAAACATGCAGTTTGGCAGTTGTATAGAGCACATCTTACCCGTATCCGTCTGTACTTGGGAGCAATCCACAAACTCTGGTTAACATCCCGTGATACCGCCACACCGCTGAGATACGCTACTCGGAACGGCCGTAAAACGCCGGAGGAGCGCATGGCTTCAAGGCCAGCCATTGTATAATCTTGACAGACCTTGCGCACATCTTCAGGGTCCATCCGAAATGCACGGCGAGGCGTCACGCCCACTGTCCAGATACATGCACCTGCGCCGGCAAAAGCCTCCTTTGCTGCGGCTGAGTATGTACCGTAGTCTGGGACAATAAAATTTTGGAGCTTTGCGGCAGTTTGTTCGAGAGGTAGGCGGGTAACAGCGATAACACTGGTGATGTCTGGGAATGTGAGGGCTTGACGAAGGACCCCGGCGCCGATGTAGCCTGTAGCGCCAACTATGATGAGTTTCATGATAGAAATCGACAGAAATACTTAATTCATATACAGTTTCAGGTAATATAGTCTAGTTCTGGCCTGAATAGCGTAAAACAACTGATGATTCTTGGTTGTTGGGAAATCAGTTGCTGAAATGCTAAAAGATTCAGCCAATCGCCGCCGATTCCATGTTTTACCCCGCCGCCTTACCATATCTGTGTTAATCATGTCATGTACCTGATAAGCCCTCCCACTATCTCTCCTCTTGTAGTTTTGAGCTTTTAAGTCGCAATAGAGTACTTATAAGAATTTTCTTAGCCTTAATAATTACATCTATTCAACATTCAGTGTCTTTTTACAAGTTACCTTCCCACAAGATCTTTGTGAAACTCACTAAACGAAGAATATCCTCATCTAATAAAACAGCCTGACGAACATGGCATGGCAGAATTTTATCATGTCCGCAATCACAGGCCACATTGTTAGCCAACTCGAATATCTCAGTGAGCATATAGCCCAGCACTCGACAGATTCCTCGAACAGCGACGTCTCTGAAGATCCTGGACTTAGCCTGGCTGTGAGACTCGAGGAATTCTCGGACACGAACGGTCACGTAAAATATGTCAAACTCTGGAATCAGGCTTTGGTCCGGCTGAGTGAAGTGACGATACGAGGCAACGTCTAGGCTGAGAGGCTGACTATCCTTCTCGTAATCAGGGAATAGCGTCTTGCCCATTTCTGCAACATTCTCACTTCCAAGATGAGGAAGGACGAAATGTTCGAGATAACTGAGGGCCATCTCGTTCACGAGATCGAATAGTGGCTGCTTCCATTGATCGATGAACCCAGAAATAGTCGGTTCTTCGCCGTCTTGTTCTCCACGATAGCTTCGCAAGGCTTCAATGTCCTGCTCTCTCAGAATATAGTCGCTTCGATCGTATGGGCCAAGCTGCTTATTTGCTGGCGGCGGGGAAACGTATTGACTAGAGACCATGTCTTGCACCTTGTCCACTCCCGAGAAGTCAACTCCTTCACGCAGCTGGCGCTCAAACCTCTCCTGGGGCGTCATGTGTTCTCGTAGTGACCCTGGAATGCCCAAGAAACCTGCCTTTGTGAATTCTGTGTATGCGGAGAAGAACAGGAATGATCTTGCTGCGGTGTGCGTATCATTGAATCCAAAGCGGCCGAACATGTATTCTCCATCGGGGATGTACAACCAGATTCCTTGCTCTGCACTGTCTCGTCGGCTTGGCCGTTGACCCTGCCATCGCTTAACCATTTCTTGCGAAACAGAGCGATCAACAAGGCCAAGAGAGTTCGAGTTTGCCAGCGCATCATCATCGCCTTCTTCCTGGCCTTCACCAATCTCATCAAAGCACCGTCTGTCGTAGTAGCTCCAATCATAACGATTAATCACGAAAACTCCAGCCTGAGAAGTGGCATCGTCGTTCATCGTGCTTCCGTGATCTGCTTCATAAGGTGAGCCAGATATGCGGAGGATCTTGTCGACTTCCTGCCTGGGATCGACATCTGCATGAGCCACGAACAATGCTACTGCATGGCTTGTCTCAGAAGAAATAAGTTTGAAGACATTCCAGGTCCCGTTTTGTGCGGTAATCTTGTAGTTGATGCTGTGAGCTATGACTGTGCCACTTGGTTGCGGTGGAGCGGCGGGGAGACCTTGAGAGGGAGCAGAGGAACCGAACCAAATGTTGTGCAAGGAGCCGAAACACACCTCGCCCGAGACGACGGAGAAAGTCGAGTGTATTGTAGGAGAGTCTACCATAGTGATCTTCTTAAGGCCCTGCCTATTGATGCGGAATGTTTACAGAAACTGTATGTATCGGCAGGGCCCATATTTAAATAGCGTGTCGGCGAAAAAAAAAGGCCGTCTGCCTAGACTGGTGCCTATTTCACCTTTGAGGTTATTCCGACCTGAGTTAGACTCGTTTTAAAACTCACAACCTCAATGACTGACCACTCACTCATCATCATGCGATGGCCTTTGTCACAGGCACAAAGCTAGCTAGTTAAGAGATCTAGACAGTCTTTCAGGCGTGCAACCGCCATTGCAAACATGAATTGAAATGCAACGCCGAATGGCCAGCTTGCAAAACGTGCACCAGCAAAGTAGTATCGTATTCTCGTGGACAGTCGCGAATTGTGAGACGTATCCGTCTCAGCACACCAGGCAGTTCATGATATCAATGAGCGTGATTGGGAGCTAAATAATCTGTCTTCAAGATCCGTAATGCAAATAGCCTTTAGTTACTGTTGCTAATTAGTAAGTATCATTATCAATCCTATTAAATTGGGACTCTTCTCCATATGGCCTTTGTAATGTTCGGGTTGAATTACTGCTAGGCCGAAGTGTCATTACTTACCTCTCCGATCGGGCAATGATCCATCTAGACTTTAGGATTTTCGGTCTTGGTCACTATCACGCCGAAACGTCAATACTGCCCTCCTGGGTTGGACCGAAGGGACTCCAGTATTCGCTTTTGCTTACAGAACCGTGGTAACGTTATTTCCAGCACCTAAGTCTCAATTCAGCATTAAAAGCAAATGGTACACTAAAGGATAAAAGCAGGTCAATGTCCAGTGCATAGGTAGTTATCCCTGTCGACTACCAGAGGCACCACTCTCTTCACCTTACTCACTATGACAAAAGCTGATGTCCTTATTACTGGGGCGTCTGGCTATCTCGGTGGCACACTTCTTGCTCGATGGCAATCAGCGCAAATTTCGGGTTACGAAAAGCTCTATGCTCTCATTCGCAAACCTGAACAAGCTGAGACCGTGAAGAAGCTTTACGACGCTGAACCGGTCCAGGCTTCTCTTGAAGATGAGGATGCGGTCCAAGAACTGGTTGTATCCAAGAGAATCAATCCCGTCTTCTTCCTAATCGATGCATACAGTTTGCAGAGCCAAACATCATTCATCAAGGGGCTATCAGCTTTGAAGGCTCAGACAGGACTAGACACGCATTTTATCTATACTTTAGGAACTCAACAGTTCTCAAGACTTTTGGGGCTACCTAACAACCGACCTCTCGATACCGACCCCGAGTTATATGAACTACAGAAGAATGCAAAAACCCCGATGAAAGAGATGAAAGTTGTAAGTAACCAAGTTGTCACATAGTGCATTTGCGGAATCTTGGACCAACTAATCGTTTCTTTAGTCCCTCGATACTAATTGCCGCGTTGTCGAACTTGGTTTAGAGTTTAGAGTCAATACTTATGCCTTCTCGCCTTGTATTGTCTGTAAGCTCTATACTGCTTCACTTTGAATAGAAGTAAAGTCCCGCCCTAATTGTAAATAGATAGTAAAGAAAAAGATTTCGGCAACCCTATCTTAATTCAGACTGTCAATATCGTCAATGCCGCTCTAGCTTACAAACACGTCTACATCATTACAAACCCGTCTGATGTAAGTTTTGTTATAATCCTACTATATAATTGCTATACTAAAACTCCATTAAGAAATAGCCAGTATATAGTATTAGTAATACTATCAACTATGCCATTCTTATTAAAGCAGTCCTCAATGGACAAGATCTTAACTACAGTAAAAATAGCTTCTACCTTGCCTCTAGTAGCCGTGTCTGCTGGATGGACTTATACAAAGCTGTTGCCAAGGCTTTATATAATCGTGGCCTTATTAACGATGATTATGTCCGGCCGATTACTAAAGAGGCGCGTGAAACTATTGGCAAGGGTCTCGGTATTACGCCTGATACTATTAAGCTAAAGGTTGCTGGAAAGTAAGTGCTTCCTTTCTGACTTCCCTAGTTGAGAAGTGGATGGTTAATGACTAATGAGTGAATTCAGTTCTTGGTATAAGCCTGACCATGCTAAGGCTAACGGTTGGAAACCTGAATTTGGTCCGAGCATATCCTAGAGGTTGTTGATGATGAGGTTTCGTTGATTCTGGGTAATCTTACGGACAGTCCCCGAGGACACAGATAAAGCCAATTCGACAACCCTGTTTCCGTTGTATGCAGTTATGGGTTACCCCTCCTTGAGAGGCTAGAGGAGGAAAGAAAACCCGGGACCTCGATTTAAAAGGACAAAAAGATTTAGGCAATATAGCCTAAGCTTAGGATAACTTTTACTGAGTTTATTTTGACACCCCTTATTAAGGTCTGTTGTTTTCTTGCCCCGAGGAGAGGGTCTGATAAATAGATCAAAATTGAATGGTGCACACCATCCCTGTAGAACCCATGTAGACAAGCGAAAATGGAAACAGAAACAGCTATCAGTACAATAATTATCCACTTAGAGGTTGTAAATTACGCGACTGCTGTTACACATCGTTGGCAATGCTATTGTGGCTTCTGTATTAAATTGGCGTCCCTGTAGTAGGCAAGTTGGAGTATAACCTGTGAAACCTTTGTTTTAATTAGGCTTCATGTAATGGCAAACATAAGCTTAATAATTAAAGCCATTAAGCGAGAGCCTAATTTCAGTAAGCTAAGCTCTTAAATTTACGCAGTAGATGTACTGTATGTCCTCTATTTAATACCATAAAGCTAATTTTCTCACTTCGGCACCTATTTTAATTCTTACAGCATTCCTATTCTAGTAACTCGTGTCTGTAATTCACTCAATTGCCATATACCTAATTCAACCGCGGCGCCCGGCTGTGATTCCGCCGGCAGAATCTTGAAACTCGGATATATGGGTCTATATACTCTATACAGCTGTGCGTTTTGACCTTCTCTAACGAGTCGGTTCCCGAACCGTCTGTGGACCTTATCGAGTATGTTTGCCCACATCCCGATGATCTACCAGTGGGTTACGTATGTCACAGCGAATGAGGAAGGAGTGTTTATTAACGTCACGTTGTAACAATCACACCTCTTTAGGCAGATCGACATGTGAAAAGGATCCTCCTGCCAAGTACGGCCATTTTCGCATTACGGAGCTTTTTCGACGTAACATTGCCAAGACGGACGGGATAAAGACGTGATTTGTGATGATGGTGGGACAACGATGTAAAGCGACCCTGAGAACTGGAAGGTCAAGTGGGATAGTCGGTCTGAAAATGCATAAAGGGAACTGGATTTCTCACATACCTCGCTCATGATGCCAACAGTTGACCCCATTCACATCGCTGTCTTTGTTCTGTTCCATCATCATGCGTTTCTCTGCTTCAATTACTTTGGCATTGGCTACCGTAGCCGTGGCCCATCCAGGTGAAGACCACCACGACGAGCTTGAGCAACGTCGCTCCTTCGAAGCCAGTGCGGAGCGATTGTCCCTCCGTCATTGTGCTGATACACTCAAGGCCAGAGGTGTCACCGACCGTAACATTAAGCGTCGTTCTGCCTTGATTGAGGAGCATCGCCGAAAGCGTAAGTGTGACTCACTACATAGCTCGTCTCTTTCTAATATGACTTGCCTCAGGTGGTATCAAGAAGCGCGATCTTGAGGACGTTCTTAACACGGACCACAACAAGACCGACCTTGGATATACACCCAACACCTCGGCCGATATCCTTTTCGCAGGCCAAAACTCATGCGTGCTGACCCCGGAGGTCACTCTCGGCCCATACTGTAAGTGTTGATCAGCTCTGAAACTGACGAGCGCTAACAATCACAAGACGTCAGTGGCGAGTCTGTTCGACGCGATCTGAAAGAGGACCAGGAGGGCGTTGACCTTATTCTCGACTACCAAATCATCGACGTAACTACCTGCGAGCCCGTGCCAGAGCTGTACCTCGAGATCTGGCACTGTAACTCGACTGGTGTTTACGGTGGCGTGAATAATCAGGGAAATGGAAACTTTGACGACAAGGCCAACATCAACAAGACCTTTGGCCGAGGTATCCAACCAACTGATGAAGATGGTGTCGCTCAGTTTGAGACCCTCTTCCCAGGTCATTATGTTGGCCGTACGACGCATATCCACCTTCTGGCTCACGCAAACGCCACTCTGTACCAGAATAAGACCCTCGGAAACGACATCTACAGCAGCCATATTGGGCAGACTTACTTCGACCAGGACCTGATTGACGAGGTTGAAGCTCTTGCTCCTTACAGCACCAACACGCAGGTCCAGACCACAAACGCTCGTGACGGAATTCTGGCTCAGGCTGCCAACCAGGACTACGACCCGGTAGTTGAATGGACCCTTCTTGGTGACACTGTTGCTGAGGGCGTCTTCGGCTGGCTGGCCTATGGCATCAACATCACTGCCACTGAGAAGGTTACCCCTGCAGTCTTCAGATATGAGGATGGTGGCCATACCAACCCTAACTTTGGAGGTGGCCCTGGTGGGCCCCCGCCATCCGCAGAGGATACCACAAGCGATTCTGCTTAGGTGTTAATCACTGACTAAGTTCTTGCAGTTTCAGTGACCTAAGAAGGCAACTAGAAAATTTGCTTGTGTTGGACCATATCGCTACTATGTGTCTTCATACAGGTTATGCCATAGCTCCTATGCATAATAGATCAATACAACATACAAGATACACTTTACAAACGAATACGCAAGTCCATGACAGGTCTTATGAGTGCTCAAGCTGTAATGAGATCCACGTCACCGTCCTATACTAAACGTACACCCTCCTAATCTGGCGAACAAAAGCTAAGAGGTTCCTGTTACATTTAACTAACTGGAACCTTGTATGTTGTGATCTCATCCAGCTCTTGGATTATTCTCTGAACCTCGCCGTATCCTATGCGCTGTTGCATCTTGGTCAAAATATCCTTCACCAAAGCAATCTCTTCGATTGTCCTGGCACCATACCCGAGTATCAACAATGGCCATGCTCCTAGGTAACAACTACTCCATTTTTGATGTTCCTCGGGGCACTGAAGAACATTCATGGCTAAATCGAGTTGCCATCTCCAGGGCTTCCCATCCCCATCTCCGGCCAAGGGTGTAAGACAAATTGCATCGTCGATTGACGTCAGGGCTTCGGTGATTAGATCAAATAGGAGGGAAGTTGCGATTATCATCAGGCCGTTGAAGCGTGAATCCCCATGTTGAACGTTCTCGCTGTTTTCGTCATCGAATAGCAACTGCTCCCAGTATTGTAGCTCAACCTTCAAGCGCTTGAGGTGATTGGAAAGATTACTTTGAGGGACATTGAACGAGTCAATTATCCGTAGTATAAGTCCATACAGGGACGTAGGTACTCCGAGTATGATGCTTGGATTTGTAGAAGATGGATTTGCCTTGTGGTATGACTCAAGCAAGTCTTCAGCATGAGTGATGAATTCAGAGTCCAGTCGAAAGTCAGGCCTAAATGGCCTCCTGATAGATAGCAAAAAGCCCTGATACAAAACGCTCTCAATATTGACCCTATAGTAGCTTTTAATGACTGTCCTCAATGAGCTACTGTCTGGGTTCCTCAAGCTTAGCAGCTCCACAGCCCCGACGACGTGAGGCCTTGGGTCTGACGTTACGTCAAGACTCCAGAACTGGGCGGGAATGACGTTAGCTAGCATCACAGTGACCATTCTCGGTGATTAATCTCGCACATTGTACACGTATAGAAATGACGCTACTGTTGATAAACACGAATGCCGATAGGTATCGGATGGACAGAAGTCCATGAGCTCCTGATTCAATCCTCTCATAGCTTCTGTATAGTATCGCAAGGCTATGAAGCGATACCGATCATTTTTAATTAGGGCGTGTTTGTTTGAAGCACAGTTGGCTAGTATAGCATATTTGAGGGTTCTGTTGTGTGACATCATGTTCATGAGGTCTGACTGGCACTGGAAAAAGTGTGACTTATCTTTTGTTGGTAGAGTAAGAGAGTTCAAGTAGAAGTTGCAAAAGTGATACATCAACTCAAACTCGATTTCCGTTTCGCAGATTGGGTGCGTGATAGTTATAAGGGACCTGTTATTCAGAATCGGGACCAGGTCATGTGAGGTCTCCCCAGACTTGGATGGAGAGGTGCTCTCGTTGGCGGGTGGAGAAGGAGGAGGAGTTGGACGTCGTCGGCGATGCCTTTTATCAGCCATATCAGAGATATTGGGCCACGTACAGCTGCGGCCAAAGCGAGAGCAGTTGCGACATGAAGGCTTCGCTTCGTCGCATTTGACCCGGCGTTGCCTGCCTATCGACGGTCAGTAGATGCGTATACTTGAATTCTCAATGCTCACATGTGACGCAGCCAGTCTTTACACGTAATTTAATATCTGGCATGTTCAGACAGGCGATGGTGTTCTAACAGGTATTGAAACGTGAATGGTCGTGTGTCCAACGAAAACGGAGAAGTTGCATTGCCAGGGTCTAATCAGAAGCGGGGAAGTCGGAGTTTTAAGATGCAACGGGCGATAAGGGGAGACAGACCTTAGCGCTAGCTCTTTTAGTCTTCTCCAGTATCTTTCGTAGTCTCCAAGCTAGTGGACTCCAGTGGCTGATAAGTACAATGCTATCGTCACAAGCGTCCCGCCCTCTTTTAATTGCAGAGGGCTGTACTCTCGAGCGATTGTATGGATATTTTACGTGCACTGTTTATAATAGGGAATGCTTATGTATACAGTGACTAAGGTGTATCTGGAGCCTTCAACCTATTCATCCCTGGATAATCTTGGACACCAACTCTGCAGCAGCAACCGTGTCTTCGTCCCGGAAGTGTTTACCAACGATTTGCAATCCCAAAGGCGCCTCAATATACGTGAGTCTACTCTTGTGTCAGCATCGATTCAGCAGTGCCGCCAGCAGCATGACCTACACTTGTTGTATTCTCGTTCCTCTTCAGCTGATCGGGGTTTGAAGGCAGGGTATGGGGTATTTGTTGGCTCGACCTTCAGCCCAGTCGGGAATGCGATGGCTGGCTGATCTAGAAGATTCCAGATAGCGGTGTAAGGTATGTAATGGCCATCGCCCAACTTTGAAGCAGGCCCGACATAGGCAGGGCAAAGAATAAAGTCAACACCTCGATCCTTCATGATCCTATGATACCCAAGAAAGTCAGCTAAGTCAGTTTCCAGTCTCCTTTGTACCTACTGTTCTCACAAGGCGTCTCTTCGGACATTGAAAGCCCAGTTCTCCTGTATAGTGAGGGGGCGTGGCGGAGAAAGGTTAAACGCAAAGTGCGACAGCGGCGCAACAGGCTCTCCTCCCTTTTCCAGGAGATCCTTCTGCGTCACAGCACAATCAGGAAAGTATAGTTTTGAAACAATATCCATGCCCTCTTGATGGTTGTATGGCTCAAAGTCGACCACAGTAATGCCTGCCGCCAGGAGCTTCTCGACAGCATATCCGAGTGCGCGAAGGACCGGCGGATGGGGCCGGACAAGGCTGTGACAAAGATTAGCTGATAAATACCCGTCCTCCCACATAACACCAATGGTAAAGCTGCCAGGCTCTAGCGAACTAGGCTGCTTCCAAGGTTGAGGTAGTAGCGATGTCTCAATCTCCCAGGGTTCTTGATCAAGCACGGCTTTCTGAAAGAGGGCAAGATCTTCTGCAGTATTGGCTAGAGGTGAGACAACGCATCGGGTGCTCTCTTGTCCAGCACCAGGAAGACACACGCCTTTGTACGGGTTGCGCAATGCGGTAGTCCTCAAACCATATGCGCCACAGAAGGCAGCGGGCACTCTAACAGAACCGGCAAAGTCGGTACCGATACCCAAGACTGCGCAACGTAGTCCCAAGGAAGCGCCCTCTCCTCCGCTCGAGCCGCCGCATGTTAATGTTCGGTTGTGTGGGTTCACAGTCGTGCCGTAGATTGGGTTGGAACAGTCAATGTGCTTAAGAACCAGTGACAGATCAAGAAAAGAGGGAAGACTGACTAACCATTACGCTCTGAGGTTCATTCGTTCGCACATGGAATACTGCTCCAGCCAGTTCTCAACACTGAACAATCAGGGCGTCTTCTTTAGCAACGTTGTCAATAAGGGCGACATAAGACGAATGAACAATCCGTCCCTTATGTTCAATATGCTCTTTGGTCGAGATCGGGACGCCGTGCAAGGGCCCCTTGACTTTGCCGGTTGCCTTGAAGTATGCGTCAAGCTCAGCAGCGGCTTCAAGTGCATCGGCATTCATGAACTCGGTTGCGAAGTTGGTAAGTTAATGTGCGATATGAGCTCTCTTGAGAAAGGCAGTGACAGTCTCAACAGCCGTCAGAGAGCCTAAGGCCATCTGTTCCACTAGTTTTGTTGCGCTGGTAGCTGTGATCTCCAGCTCTCGCGCTGAGAGGAAGCCGCATGTCTCGATAAAAGTAGAGACATTGAGCTGCTCAGCAGGTGGAAGCTGATCAGGTGGCAAAAGCCAAGCTCGGTTGAGTGATTCTCCGAACACTTTACGGCATTTTTCAGCTTGGATCTCCCAATCGGCCAGCACAGAAGTGTCGGCGGACTTTTGGGGCTGAGAATGAGAGATGAGTCCCTGAGGAAGAGACTCAACAACGGAGGCCATGATGTGTGATGCAAAGACAGTGAAGGCAGAGTTAGGAGGGATAATGATTAGATAGAGCTTGGCTCTAATTGCATCTTTATACCCATGCTAAGAACCCGGACACCATTGCCGGGTCTATGTAACGCACTCGATATTCTTTCACCAATAAGACAGTATTTATGATTCATGCTCATCAACAAGCGAAATACCGTTGCTAGAAGCCTAGAACGCCTTCTAAGATAACCTATCATTTGGTAACGATATCTATTGGCGGGACCCCTCGGAAAAGCTAATGATTGGTCAAGACTTGGCCTCACGCTTGAATCGGTTCAAGCTTGGCTAAACTGAAAGGTAAGCTAAAACTCTACTATTGGTTGTTACCCCGCAGGCTGGGGTCCACCCCCGGATTAGATGATATCGCGAGCTGACGTTTGAGGTGCAATCTAGACGGTCTGGGCGATGGGGAGATTGTAATCTAGTTGAAGGCGCTGTGTTTATAAGGTGTTATCGCGTTTTGACTGCTTGGTATCCCTTTATTGCATGTATATAATCCCTGGTATGTTCGCCAGCAACAGATCTTCAGACCCATAGACCTCGTCCTCAATAACGAATTGACCAATCTTCTTCTTTTAATTGTATGCTTCAGCATGGTCTCAGACGACAACTCGCCACAGCTCGTATCGGACTTTTTTCCGGGAACAGTCCTCCTTGTTGACCTTGATGGCACCTTGGAAACTCGCCATGCTCAAGCCCACCGAGATATCGTCCTTGTACCAACACCTTCTGATGATCCCGATGATCCGTTGAATTGGAGCAGGTGGAGAAAGACTTTACTCATGACAACTCTATGCGTGTATGTGAAGCTACCTATTCTTGGAAAACGATTACTTAACCTCTGTGATCTACAGATACTGCCTTGCCGTTGGTATTGCTTCGGCCGCAATTTACTCCGTCCTTGTTCCAATCTCAGCTGCCACTGGCCTCACTGTCGGTGATCTGAACTATGGAACTGGATACATGTTCTTGACCTTTGGCTGGGGATGTCTGATTTGGCAGCCTCTGGCACAGAAGTTTGGCAAACGCCCTGTGTACCTTTTGTCCTTATTGGGAACAACCGTAAGCCTACCACTCCTTGCACATTTCTGCCTTAACTCACGATCACCAGAGAATCATGATCTGGGCCCCGCATGCAACAACTAACGGTTAATGGATCGTCAATAAGGTCCTCCAAGGGACCTTTGGTGCTCCGATCGAGTCACTCTGCGAAATCTCCGTATCAGATGTCGTGAGTAGCCATCCTACGCGTCTTCCCCCGGTCAATCTCATTGACACATGCAGTACTTTGCACACGAAAGAGGCACCTATATCGCTTATTACGCTTTGTTCCTCGGAGGCTCAAACTGTGTTGCACCTGTCATCTCTGGCTTCATCAACGACGGGCAAGGTTGGGAATGGGTGCTGGTAAGTAACAAACAATGATCAAAAGTTCCTAGACTGACTCTTGAGCAGCACTGGTGTGCCATCTTTAACGCAATCGCATTCCTCATCTGTCTATTCTTCATGGAAGAGACAAAGTGCAACCGGAAGGCTACTCCACTCCATCTTCACGATGTCCAAGACATTCCTCGACAAAATCAAGATTTTCCGAAGCGAGCACGTTCAAGGCAGCGTTCCCCTCAAGGGCATGCTAATTCGGCCCTTCAAGTACTTCTCCCTGTCCATTGTTGTGTTCTGTGGCTTCATGTACGGCGCTGTTGTTTGCTACTTCAATGCCCTCAATGGAACAGCGTCGATCATTCTCTCGGCTCCTCCGTATTCGTTCAAGCCAAGCTCTGTTGGTCTTTGCTACATCGCTAACGTCGTTGGAGTCTTTCTCGGGTAGGTGTTGCGGAACTTTCACTGACATCACAAGTAAACTAACAGGAAGCAGGTCATTCTTTTCTGGTCCAGGTGGAGACAAGCTCGTCCTATACCTGACCCGCCGTAACAACGGCATCCGAGAGCCTGAATACCGCCTCTGGCTTTATGCTGTTCTGCTCCTACTCGTACCGGGTGGATTACTACTCTGGGGCGTCGGAGCTGCTCATCAAGTTCGCTGGTCTGGACTCTTGATCGCCATGGGAATATTAGGTGCCGCAATCACTGCAGCTGTCAGATTCCCCTTAGTTACTGCATCGACTGCTATACCGAACTTGGCTCTGATGCCATTGTCACAATCATTCTGATTCGCAACACAATGAGCTTTGCCATGGGCTATGGGTAAGTGACCCACCATCTGTCGATTTTCCATCTACTGACCTCTCTCAGCGTCACTCCCTGGGTCACAGGAATGGGCTATCAGAGCGCTTTCCTTGTTGCAGCCTTTGTTGCGATGGCGCAGTTTTCTCTTGCTTTTGTCTTCATCAAGTATGGCAAACAACTTCGACGTAAGAGCACTGCGAGCTATTTCAAGTACCTCAAGCAGGTCAAGAACGACGGTCTTATTCACTAGATGGCAGTCAGTACCCGTATCATTTGATCAACTGCTGCTGTAACTGTATCTTTCGTATTAAAGTATTCACTGCTTGAATTGTCAAATCGGGCAATCCGATACCTCTCGCGCAATTCACCCCGACTCTTCAACGTTATAGAGTAGGCAATATGTGACTGCCCTTTAAGCACCAGCCTCCCAAACTGTTCTAGTTGGTCTATAGGAAGTGGTCAAGACTTTACCTTCTCACGATCAAACAAGAAATCAGTTTGACCAAATCACCAAGCCGATTAGAGAGGGTACTTCTGGGACACAGTTCGGTGAATAGTACATGATATATGCTGTGATCGAATCGAGTAACCATCTTGACACATCGAGTTTGCCTCATATCGAAGATCACGAGCCAGCCTATTGTGCTTCAACATCTTAGACTATAAATTGAAAGCATATTCCTTTCTTTTATAGCTTTTGACGTAAGTGACAGCTAGGTCTTTACTAATTTTCGAGATTGCATCTTTTAACCTGAACGACGAATTGCCAAGTCAATATCCTGTTACCGATTCAAGTTTAAGAACTTCGTCATATGTGTAGAGGTGACATATCAAACCGTATGCCGGGTTTGTTAGATTCTTCTTACCCAGCGGTTTTCTGACCACTGTTGTTCCCAGTCTCGAGGCTTCTTTGGAAGATGTGGCAACAGGGGAAGGAGAGTTGACACAACGAAAACACTCTGCTCTAAATGTAGAAACAAGAATAATAAGAAATGAGAGTGGCTTACAGAAATATATAGGCGAAGGATTACTTTGAGCTTTGGATATTAGAGATAGGTTAACGTCTTGAGATATTTGGAGCCTAGATAGACTTAACAAACGCATTCCGAAGGCTTTGGTACTGTGCAAGGAACCAGCATTATCGTAATATATCATTTGACATAAGGACGAATTAGCACAAATCCGATACGTGACAATCGCGAAGTGTGAGGCCTGATTAACTGACATTTTTCGGTCCATCAATTCCTGTGCATGTTCTACTAGGTTAGACTGTGAAATGTGGAGAATTCTTGCAGTGAATGGTGGCAGCTACCAAGGGGCAATGTTCATCTACAAAGGGGCTCTGACAATGCTGCGATTCTAAGCTATTTCTACCTGTGAACAACAAACCACTGGTCACAGAACCTCTGATGTTCTTTTGACTATAAATTGTCTCGTAGCCTATTTGTAACTCGGAAACCTCGACTCAAGTAAATCTCCCATTCTGAACAACAATACTTTACTATCTACAACTTAACCTATAATTACAGGCCATTACAATGTGTGTGCAATGTAGAGAGCTAACACTATGCCCAGATTGCAAAAACTTGAAAATTACAAGGAATAACGTAACCGCTTGTGCGGCGTCAGGAGGAATAGTTGGGTCATGCAGAAAGCCAATCGAGGTAATTGACACCGAGATCTGGAAGGAGTGCGAAGAATGCAAGGAGAAGAGAAAGAAGAAGAAGAACAAGAAGTGAGCGACTTCTTGGTGTAGCTATGTTTTTGTTCTGTCTGCCATGAAGAACAAAACCCGAGGCATGATGCAATAAAATTATAAAATGGTATTTTAGTGTTCCTCTTTGAGCTTACATAAAATCAGCCGTTGCCAGCCGCGAGAATATGCCCTAACTCATAAAATAAATTTCTGGTCTATCAAGCATATGGAAACAAAGTTCACAGTACTATCTTCTTCGAACTTCCAGCTGGGTGAATGGATCAGTAGCACTCAAGAAGCCAAACTGCATAGGCTTTCCCAAGCACCCGTCCTTCAATCTAATATCATATTTGAGTATGATGTGAGCCAGGCAAAGCTTCAACTCGCTGCCAGCAAAGAACCTTCCGGGGCATATATGTTTGCCCATGCCGAACTGGGCATGCTCCGGGCTTGACTGCACGAACAAGCTTGTATTGTCACCAGCTTGTCGACGCTTATGAAAGCGCCAAGCATTAAACTCCTTGGGATTCCCAAAATTAGCGGGGTTGTACATCTCTCGAGCATCGATGGCGATATGAGTTCCTTTTTCGAGAAGAGTGCCATCAGGAAGCCGAGTGTCGCGAATGACCAATCTCTCCAATATCACTTAAATTAGTTAGTATGTGCGAAATGCCACTCGGAGAAAGACTTACCTAGCGACGGGATTTGTCTTTGTGTCTCCTTCATGAAGCTATCGAGCAACTGCATCTTGACGAGCGACATGGCAGTAAAGTCGTGATCAGGTGCAGCATCTTCAATCTCTCGCCTCAGATGCTCAACAACCTCAGGGTGGTGAGCAACCTCAATGAGGATCTGTCGAAAGAGCTCTGAAGTGGTAAACAGGGCGGCCATAGCCAGAGCAAGCTGAACATCCGCCGGCTCAAATTCGTTTCCAAGTGGCGATTCAAGTGTCCAAGCAAGGGCGTCATAATAAGCAGGAGCCTCTTTTCTTTTGACCCTAGCTTCTTTTTCCTCTTGTCGTCTCTCCTGAACGACCTTGTTCACCATTTCGCGAGCCCGCTTCAAACCAGCACGGCAAGCAGAGGCACCGGGAAGATACCAGACAACCAGCCATCTCAACCACGAGGGCCACATATGCATTTCTCCAACAGCTCCAAAGTAATCCAGAACATAAGCTCTCGAGGCCTTTTGCCATTCAGGATCAGCAGCGAGTTCCGGCCCGACAAAGATAGATGCTGCTGCACGCGAAATAACCCCAGTTGTTCCATCTTCCCAGTTGAGCGTCTTCCAAGATTTGCTTTCTCCCCAAATGTCAGATAAGCCCGCCTTGATATGTTCATTCATAACAGGGAGAGTCTTGTCAGTTTTGGATAACTTTCCCTGGACCATGTTGATGACCATCCTATTCGGGTGATGCAAGACATGCTGGACGTCGAAACCAGGGTAACTAGCAAAGTATTCGTCTCTGATGAGTTGCTGGTGGTCCAAGTCCTTGTTGTTCTTGGCCCAGCTGACAAACGAAGGTGGCAGAATAGTCTTGATGCCATTTGGGACCAGGATGTTTGAAGGGATTCTCGCCATACTTGGCAGCGCCGTCTTTGAGTAACTTTCTCGCGTTGGTCTTGTACTCGTTATTCGCCTGATGGTGGTCTTTGGGATATTTGTTGATGATTGGGAATTTCGGTTTCTTGTTGGTGAAAATGATAGCCCTGATAAGGATGGCTAGTATTGAGAGACCGAGGCCCAGCGGAGAGGAAAGGAGAGCCATTGATTACAATTAGAATTGTTAGGGGGAAAGGTTAATGAGAAGTACAGCAGAAATCTCAGCACTCGTCAATCTATATTTAAGTCATTTAGACGTTTGCCCTGCACTGCCATGAGTGTCATTTGAAAAGGGCTGGAAGTGGAACCTCTGACAGATCTCTGTGAGTCCCCACCAGAAATGAATTTTCGCGCTAGAATACAGCGATGATGTCGTCTTGGTTAAGCTGGCAGTCCCATTGGTTCGGCGCTGCCTCTGTTCCGAAATACAGTGGTGAGGCATGCCATGGCGTGGAGCTAGCAGAGTACATGCCCTGTCCTATGACGGAAGAGGAAATTCACGGAAGTGAGTCATCTTGAATCATGGTAGGTCCTTATTAGTGCTTGCTGCGTATTATTTCTGGTTTAAAAAAAAGAATTTCATGTATGCAAGTAATGTTGGTGCCTTGCACAATACTCTCATTTCGCAACTAAGAACTTAGCAATATATCCCATAATACCAAAAGAAAAGCCTCAGGCTCCCTCCATGAGTTGCGTGATGAGATCAAACTTCACCAGCTCATATAGGACGGTATGAGCATCTCCTTGGCCGAAAGGTAGCCAATTCTGACCTGCCAAAAACTCTGATATCACCTCTGTTCCCTGTATTCCCCAAAAATCTCGCGCCATCGACACAGCCAGCCCAACTCCGCTGTCCATGTATGGCGAAGGACAACTTTCAGCCCCAGGAAAGGTCGTCTTGTATATACGCTCCCACCGTCGTTTGTCAGATAGTTTGGGATTGTCTCTCGTAGAGAGTCTGCTCCTCTGGTAGAGATTGATACCATCTGGTATCTTGAGAGACTCGGTTCTGCATCTTTTCTGCAGGATATGCCTGTCGCATTTCGACACACTGTCAAAGGTCATTGAGCATCTTGGGCAGTAGGGTGGCTTTGCATGGTGTCGTTTCACATGCCGTTTCACACTCGAAATTGAGTGGAGCTCGTGATGAATCGCACAGGCACGATGTTTCTTTGGGTCCGAAGCATGAAAGGGACATTGGTAGCGGCAATGACCCCCTACTCGTGGTATAATAACAATTGAATCGTCGATCGCGCGGTTCTCGTCATCGCAACTTTTATTAAAGTCCGTTGGAAATATCCAATCACATTCATCTATATGCTGCACTTGTTGCGTTTGTTCGTGGTGCGTTGGCTGGGTATATATCGCTTGCGAGAGAAATTCGTCGAGCTGTGCACGAGCCACTGGCAGTAAATGCTGTCTCGCAATTTGGATCCTCGGGTCATTGAGCAATGTACTATGCATCCATTGCGTAGACTTGTCCTCGCAACAGGATTCGTCACCTGAACTTTCACTGGTGCTGTCGTAGCTGTTTTCTCTGTACCCAACGTCGCAATCCCTAGAGCTGTGTCGGTGATGGTGAAGCCGAGACGTTCTCACGCCATTTGCACTGTGCGTAAAAGGACGTGAAGGCCTGAGTGCAAGCGTTTGCATAAATGCAGCTCGTCGCGGGCGAAGGCGAAGAATGCCCATGACGGCTATCAATGGTCGCAGACGGGGTAGACCAACGTGAAATGTATATGACAACTGGAAATTCAATGCACTGTGATTGGAAGATGGAATTGTTGTGAGGTACTCGATGCTCATTGCGAAATGGACGGCATTAGAGCCTCGTTAAATGGCCCCCGCTTGAGCCGCACGGCAGCAAATCTCACAGTTGTGTAGGTGCAGAGCCGCAAAGCTTTGAGCGGCGGCGGCGGTTTTCTCGGCCATTGACACGAGCGGAGCCTCAACTTGGGGAGAGACACCCGCAAATGCGCGGAAGTCAGCCACCAACTCGACATCCTGGCATAAACAGAGCCTTATTATCTCATGCGTTTCGTGAGATGCTTATGCATTTTACTTGTTTGAATGTCACCTTTCTGGGTCACCAGGCAGTATGCAATGATGAAAAAGCCACTCTTTTCGCACTCAGCTGGTGCACTATTCTTTTGGGCAGGATTGGGCGCCTTTGGTCACATCCAGCGCTCTCCAATATAACTGACGCTCACATCAGGTGCCTCACACGCTCTCCCATACGATAGTAATCTCAGGCCTCGTTATCCTTAAATTCCATTTTACTTGCAGGATGCGCTTCGATAGATGTGTCAATTGGTACTCCTTAGTAATGAGGCCCAAATTCGCCATATTGACCTAATGACGTGTACAATATACTCAACGTTCGGGCTTTCAGCTATGCGAACCTGAGATTACGAAATCCATTAAGCAGAGATAGCCTGCATAAAAAATATCATTCATTCTTAAGTATGTTCACTGTTATCAAGCTCTCCAAAATAATCTCCACCATCTGAGTAATTCGTCCACTGACGAAAGGCTTCATCCTCATCAAATGACACAGGAAGTTCATCCAAGGGCTGGCGCCAAAGCATTTCATGCAACATGTATCCAAATGGTTCCGCCTCCATCACTGGAATGTATGGCTGATCAGGTACATCGTCAGTACTGGGCCTCAAGGGCTCCATGGCATTTGACCAAGTCTCTGGATCCTGAAGAGGTGGCATATCTGGCACAAACGTTATTTGTGCCGGCACTGAAGGCGCCAACACAGCCTGGGGTCCTTCCTGTGTAAGTGGATTGGAGGTAGGAATCGGGTTCCGTAACAGCCTGAGTATAGAGCCGATAGTGGTGGAGGCAGTATTACCTTCCGGTCTAGCCAATGCATCGTGATGAAACGACTGTAAAATAGTCGGCAGTTCTCTCTCCATAACACTGTATTGCACTTCCAGCATACAGTCTACAGTTTCGAAAAATGGCGAATGGGGAGCTGCCTGTTCTCCGAACAGCTTCTTCCATGCTTTGTACCATTTTTCTTCGTGAGTACCATGCAGACCATTAAGGGCTTCATACTCAGATTCAAGAAGTAGCCCGGTTTCTAGAGCAGTTTCTTCAACGCAAGTATCCTGGCGGATATGCTCGTTCTTTTCGGTCTCAGCGTCCTCACCGTAAAATTCATCCCGGCATTTGGGACAATGTTCTCCTTCGATGAGGTGTTGCCGTTTGAGGTGTTGCAAAAGACGGTCCCACTCGGTTATTTTGTACCCAGCACAGCATTGATATTTGCGCGGATCAAGCTTGAAAAATAGACATGCAAGCTTCTTGGTAAAAGGCTGATGGGGACCAAAGCCTCTTTTCTTTTTGCCCGGGCTTTGTCCATTTCCTTTGCCACCCTTGCCACTGTTCCGGTCGTTGTTCTCGCGGCCAGATCCCTTTTTCTTTTGGCCAGATTGATTGCCAGAGCCTGGCGAGCCAGCCCGCTTATCCCCGATGCTCGGCGCTTCCGATGCATATGATTCCTGTGCTGGACAGTACAGTATCCACCAGTGGCAGTGCCTGCGCTTCCCCGGGAATAGTAGCACGACATTGGAGACGCTATTGGCTCCAGCGCTATAGTGTCGGGTAGCCGCACTAATTCCACCTGTGGACGGCAAGGATAAAGCTTCATCTTGAACCTTTGTAGACAACTGTTGGTTTTTGTTCTTGCTTGGTCTCTGGGACCTATAAAAATCGACAAGGACACTGAGGATAATGAGCTGCTGGATAATAGTTTGCACCTTTACTGGCAGCTTCTTCTGTTTTGGTGCAATTGAATAGTAAGTCGAATTGTGAAGCGTGAGACCAACACCGTATTCTTCTTGGTGGACCTGGAGCCCACTTGGCGAGGGAGTAATAGTACTCATTGTGAAAACAAGGCTGTGGGCAAAACAATGCGAAAAACAAGATTGCTCAAATAAGGAATTGTTCTCGTTGTGAAACTCTGTTTAACAATATGATTGAAGACTTGAAGCTATCATGAGTGAAAAAAAGATGTGTTTGTTACATTCCAAGCCAGTTGTCTTAGTTGAGATCTAATGGGTCCATCATCAATATTCCCTCCTCACAGTTGTGTTGGTAAGGCGGCCAAGGCAGTCAGAGTAAAATCTAGAACAGCAGTAATTATTTTTCAGCTTCAGCAGTCTTTCACCTTTATCGATGCAAAGCAAGGTGTCGGCTGTGATGGTGGGGGAGGGGTGAATATTATACTGCTTTCAATTGGCTATATCCGAGAAAGCTGCAGTAGCGGCTTCAACACAGATGTGTAAAGGAGGGTCGGAACAACACATTTGTGTCCATACTAAAGCCACAGCACGTGCGATTGGTCAATCTGCCCTGTATTTAGGGGGGCTCTCGAGAAGGTCTACCATGGACTAGACCGCACGAGGTTGTCATGAAACTGTTATTTTCTAGGAGAAATTGCACAAGGAGACTAAGCTGTAGCTGCGTCATTTGCCATTCCATCAAGTGATTGCCTGAACACAGTTGTGTAAAGTTGTTCTTGCTGTCGATACGTACACTTGTAGTATCGCCGGACTTCCGGGGCACCAATCTTGTTTCATAGACATCCTTAGGTAGATTTATAAAGATTTATGCAGGTTTAGCATAATTTAGGATAACTTTTGCTAAGCCCTGAAACACCTGCATCTTACAGTGGCTTGTAAATCTGCCAACGCTAAACCCACTCCCTGCAGCGCTGAAACCCCTCTCCATTGGTGCGAACTGCCAGTGAGCGTGCCACGAACACTGAAGGACGTCACTTATGTTTATCCATTTTCTCACCATGCATCCCATGCTTAGTACACCGTTGAGCTGATGAATACAAGTCCTTTATGAGAATGCTTTACCAGACTGCTATGAAGGGATCCGCATCAATACGCCACTTGTTTTTCACTGCAGTCCTGTTTACAGGAATAATCGTCGACTCGACGGGGCTAGAGTTCATGGCAGGCCAGAACTTCTGTCCATGGCTCCAGCTAACCCAGCCGCTGGAGGGCGGAGAGGAGTCAGGTATTGAGCCGTCTTTTGCAACCTCGGAAGCGAGCTCAGAACTGTTTACGTCACAGCATTCTATGGCCTCTCTATTCGACGTGGACTTTGGATCAGGTTTCTCAACGCCTATAACATCATACACAACGCACGAGAAAAGTTCGCAGACACTCACCTTCGCAGAAGCACTCTATCTTACCCAGAAAGTGGATCGTGGGAAAGAAAATACAGATAGATTTTATGCCGAAACGCAACCACAATACTGCTCGCTCGATATGCTTTCGAATACGAATTTTCCATCGAGGCAAGGATCTATTGATAAAACTGAATATATCACGTTGTTTGATGCATCAGCGACCTACAGAAGCTATGGAAAGGATACATCAGACCGTTTATCTAGTAAAAAGGTGATCGGACCTTCTTCTGCTTTGCTGTTAACATATGGCATAGGTGAGACAACTCACCGTTGAATATCTATCTGTCCACTGACCACGAAGCAGGCGACCATCTAGAACCATTCCAGTCAATTGAAGAGGATCTACCGCCATCAAGAGAACAGTCGATACCTCTGGGTCCCACTGAGACGTGCATCGGCGATGAGGATGGAAGCCCTTGCCCGTCAATGATTGAAAGTGATGATTCCAGTGTGGAGGACATTGAATTAAGAAAAGCCTTCGCTTGCCCTTATTTCCGGCTCGATCCTGTTCGACACATTGAATGTTTGAGCCGTAAGCTGTATCGCATTCAAGATGTCAAGCAACATCTATCTCGGCGCCATTATATCAAGCGGGACTATTCAGATAATACGAGGGGCGTAAATCCAAGAACACAGAAGGTTCTCAAGCTCCGCTTAGATAGAAGACTGTCACCAGAAGGACAATGGCACGAGATTTGGAGAACGCTGTTTGATGGGACATTGCCTAGGGAAGGGCCTTATCTGGGTAACTCTAAGGAAGAGATTGTCGGAAGTATGATTGCGGTATGTAAACAGGGAAGCAGTCGAGTTGTTCCAGGGATATTGAGAAGTCTGGGCCTTTCAAGTGAGAAAGGAAAGTCTGTTCAACAGTTAATGGAGCAGCTTTTTAGCGGGTTTCAAGCATTATCCGATGAGCAATCGAACTCTACGGAGACGGAGAAGCCTCCGACATGCGGTGGCGTTGACTCGATACCAATGACACCAAAGGATATGGAGTTTGAATTTGACTTTAACGTACCACTGCATCGATCTCCCCTGCCAGAGATTCACGATTCTTACTCTAGCAAGGACATGACGGAGTTACAGGAATCCAACTCGGTAATTCCCACCGAACTACCAGATTATGCCACTTTTGAGGGAAACGGGGAGGACGACATCTTGATGGGGTATCAATCTGAAAAACAGCTGGACGCAGATGTTCAAGTGAAGCCAGCTTGGCTACCGAATACTGCACTTCACACGCCTAACGTAATTGAGCGCTCGGAGACGGCTTGTGCTACTATTAACACCGAGCACACCGGAAAGTCACTGACTTGTTTGACTCATGTCCTTGAGGAAACGAATGATCCCGACCCATATGAGTATGTTGACGCCTGGGCATGCGACTACTGCGGATTCGAATACATCTTCAGACCTAGAGGAGCGAGTAGCGACATGTTGTGCTTTAATTATCCATGCCTAGGCCGGCTTCCCGGCTGCTACTACGATTCAGTTTACAAGGCACGGGTCAGGAGAGACAGGTTGTAGGGCCTTACTGCATAGAAAATTCCAATATGAGAGACAAGCCAATTTTACATTTTTCCAAATACTCTTGTAGTCGAGGCTTGTTACGCGTCTTCCTAAGGTCATACTTCCAGATATATTAAAGCTAATACCATATAGACCGATAATGAGGCCCCCCAATAACCCAGAAAGATTCTGCCACTTTCCATTGCTCAGGGTTTATTTCAAAAACGTCCTCACAATCCACCCATGGGCTCCATCTATGTTTCTCTACCGTTCCAATCTCATAGAGATCAATACCAGGAACCATGAGAACATTGGGGTGTGGACTGTCCAAGATGCTCTCAAAGCTCGATAGCACAAACTGTAACTGATCTTCAAGGGCCATACTCTGGAGATATAGAAGCATACCTAGCCCTTCTGATGTGAGGTAGTGCACATATTTGTTCACCTCGATCTGTTCGCAATTTTGTAGTCGCCACTTTTGCCGGTCGTCCGCCACTTCACCGTTATCCTGGTCCTTGCCATTAATGGCTTTCGTGCTTGCACTCAGATGGCGGTTTATATTCTTCATCATGGTGCAATGCTGATCGTAGATATAATAGGCCACTGAATAGAATCTTAGTCTCTCGTCAATCCGGTTTCTTGGCTCTGAACCACATAGACGCGGCGAAAATAGGAGTCGACGAATGCTCTCATCCCTCGGAAATAACGGCTGCTCCATGTGAAAGAAAGCTTGGACATAGCCTTCGAAACGACAGGCTGCGTTGATGAAGCTCTGGCGCTCCTCCGGGGAGGCTCTAGGCCAATCTGCTGGCTGTAAATAATATCCAAATATTTGTTTCAGAGCCTGGAAGATATAGCTTGTTGTTAGCCATCCAACATCGATGGCAAGAGTTGAGAGTTCGCAGATGGTTGCGAGTGAAGCCCGGTGAGACACATGGTGATGGGTGTTGTGGCTGCGCATACAAGACTGCAGAATCGGGCTGATGATTTGTTCGCGATGCTGTGGCCTAGTATCATTGAATGCGGGATTTTTCTTAGCATGGCGGAGTCGAGCTGCGAGTAAGTAGGCAGTTGAAACATGACCTCCACAAACTTCCATAATCTTGGTCGTATGCGGCGTCATCACTTGCTTCCTGTTATCAAGAAAACAGTGTAACAACCGAGGATCGGCGCGAATCATGGCGGAAATATCCTGCGGGGTATCGACATATTTCATAATCGCCACTCCGAGCTCGACGGGCAGATCCTGAAAGCTTGCCATGGCAGGCGCTGTGGAGGAAATGATGGTCGAGGATGGAGAAGGGCAAGGCATTTCTGGAGAATCGGAATGATTGTATAGTTAGATATTAAGCTTTCAGAACTTGCCACGCTGTGGATCATATACAGTCCTATAGGTGTTATTTGCAGTTGAGACTTTTGGCTAAGAGCTTAAATCAGCAGAAAGAACTTAGTATAGCCTTTTGCAAGCAAAACCTTGACGTCGTGGTAGTTGAATCTGACCAATAGAGACGGGCATTATCGTTATGAGTTTCCAGTCGATACCTTCTCATGTACGGAAGTATAATTTCCCAATATTCTTGAGAATCAATGAAGGAATATCACCTGCCCCTTCACAGTACTGTGGGAAAGCATTTTAAGATTCAAGACATTCCTTCTTCCCGTGATTAACTCTCCTTAAGCATCATCATCACTGCCGTCGTCATCGCATCCTGTCATCAGAATAGCAGGACACGATGTTCTTTTGATCCCATACAGATTACCATACAACAATTAAACATTATGTCCGATCCGACCATGGCTTTTCAGCCCAAAGTTCAACGTTATCGACAGCAATTATCCGATAGGTGTTGATAAACGCGGGTCCACTATCCTAAGGGATGATAAAACTGAGGTAAACTTAGCATAGCTTAGTATAGACTTAGGATACCTTAGACTAGGCACCCAAGGTTCGTCTCAAGCTCTTCTTACTCCCGGCCACCAGACTTCGCAATATTCGGGTGCCACCTTCACATAAGATTCTCATTTGCTTGAGCACGGGCAGAGACAGACCTTGCGAACACCTGGCATTTGACGACCAAGAATGTAGTGTCTCTTGCAGTTTGTAGAATTTTCGCCGTATCCGTTCCAGTAAATTTATTATTGTCTGTTTTGTACATGCGGTAGGCTGTGACTGCGTCTATCGTTGAGCCATCGTTGCTGATATCAGGTTCTGTGCCGTAAGTTGTCATGCGGCGAAAGTCGTACTCCTAGGTACTCAATTGACAATGCTGCAAACACATACAGTTCTTCATAACAGTCGTTTGTAAATAAAGCATGTTAGTAAGAGGACTAGATTCTGTATCAACGATTGCACTCTTTCAGCCACAGACCTCAACTGCAAAAAAACAGCACATATAGCTCACAAAAACTATTGTCAATGAATCTACCATTCCCTTTGACTTACACGGCCCTCGCATTGAATCCAGCCCTCGACACGTATGATACCTCCTCTCTACGACATCGCATTTCTCTGTCAGCAACCCAATCAGCTAGCCTCGCCCAGTCCCGATTCCTTTTTATCGTTCACTTCACCTTTAGCAAGCTCTTTTCCCTTTCTAACTTCAGGGGACTTGCTAACGTTATCTGATTTGCCAACACTCATACTGCATGGACTCACATGTCCCACAACGGCGTTGGCATTGAGCTTCGAGGGCGAGTCTTGTTTTGGCTGAAAGGCTTTGATGCTAGGCGTTGGAGAATTGTCTGTCTGACGATCTGTTAGCTTAAGTCTCTTTTCAATTCCTTTAATTATCCTTCGAGATGTTTTAAGAGCCCGATTTTAACCCTTCGCCTATGGCCAGTATATGCTGACGCTCCGCCCATGACTTACAATTTCTCCAAATTTCCATCCAAATTTGACTGCAGCTCCTTCATAATTCTTCGCCCTAGAAGTCAATTGGAAAGTCTCTCTCTGCTGGGGACTGTTTCCCTGATAATGCGTTAGCTTCACCCTCCTTTCGACTTTACTTTTGCCCTTCATCGAAAGTCAAGAGTCCTGATATAAGAGTCCTGATATAGTCCATTGTCTCTTTGTCTTAATGTTTTCTCTGCTCATAACTTACCTATTCACTAAGTTTCCCACCGAAGTTGAAAAACGGTGCTTTTACCGTCTTTGCGCCGGTTGCCGATTGAATCGGCTTGCTCTTCTCCTGCGAAGGAAAGATCAAAGCAAGGTTATTAGGCTCCAAGTATTCATCAATGCTTTCCACACGGATCGGTGAAGATATGCTCTTCCTGAACTTGTCTAACAACAGGATCCGAATTTCTGCCTGGGTTTGAAGGAGTGTATCCCAATCTGTTGATGAACCGAGCAATTTCGCTGGACTGCCAAAGTGTTCCACGATAAAGTGCATGGAGAAGTTTCTCAACTTGGAGCCGGGTGAAGTGTTACTCCATACGTACTGCACATCATCGCAGGTCATAGGCCGTCCGAAAATTGGTCTTGTGTGCTGTTCATAAAGACGACGCATTGCGTAGTTTTTGAACTCGACAGATCGAAGCTTATCACTAAGAACCCAACCTTTCGCATCGGCATTTTCAATCGATACTGACGAAGAGGACTCATAGCTTCCATAGTACATCCACTCCACAAAAAGGCCAAACACATCAGGTGGATGGTTATGAAGCCTAATTCGCTTATTGGATTCCTGAAGAATCAAAGAGCAGGTCTCTTTTAGGTAAGGCGAGTAATGTGAGACCAGATTTATGGGAAGACACCATGTCTTGAATGAGTCTGCTTCATCCCCGTTCGACGATGGTGGTTTTGTTCCGACTTGAATCTCCACTCCGTTGCCTTGAAGTCTGTTTGAATTAGCCATGTCTTAGTTCCTGTAATAATGGACATACAGTTGCATTTTCCCTTTGTCAACTAATGTCTTTTTGATTAACAGTCTCGAATCGGGCGCGAAAAAGCTCTGAGCATTCGGATTGACGATCTGTGAAGCATTACGCCCCTTGCCATGCTTATAGTCCTCGAGCCTATGTTCCTCGAGGCTAAAACTTTTATAATCCGGGTGAAAAGAAATTGTTTTAGATTCACACAACTCATTGTGTATGCGATCTTGTACGGGGTCGGTAGGCACTGGCTTGTCCCATGTACCAGGTTTCGGGTTGTTAGTGCCTTTTATTGTCCATTAGTATACACCATCTAGAGGGATATTATTCAAAGCCATACTCTTCTGGATAGGAATAGAGCCAAAAGAAAAGCTATGTATTGTTAAAAATTACCAGGCAGATAAAAGATTATGTACTATAAAGAGGCTTACCTCATTGTGGATTCTGCTGGCTGCGACGTCACGTAGTAAGGTAGTGAGTAAGTGAATTTGAAGTGTATAAGAGAGATTATTATAATCTGATATGTGTTGCATGGGAAAACGTAGTCCCTTTATTATCCCGACCTCGTCAGAGCGCTATGACTGGGACACGTTAAGCGCTGTGAACAACCGCTGAGCACACCAATTAAAATATAGAGGCTAAGTCAGGATGCCGGCATCGAAAGTGAGATCTGCTACCCCTCTCTCAATAGGTATAATGTAAGCGCTCAAGCTCTGTTATCACTTGTTTTTCCTGTTGGTTCTTGTTCAGCTGAATACGCAGGCTCCATAATCCCACCTTGACAGGCCTCTTATTGGTCCAATGATGGTTTATCTACAGCTAAGCGCCCTTAACACCTATTTACCCTTGAGGTGCTGGTATTGAAAACTTAAAAACGCAACAGGAATACCGAGGTAGAGAAGCATAAATAAGCAATAGGGGCGCGATAGGAGACTTTAAAATTTGCTTGCTATAGTCTGCTGGTGGAGGACATCAGTCTTGGAATCCATGAGTTTACTTCAATTGCCGAATTCTTTGCAGAAAAAGACCAGCCATGGTCCAATCCCTAACGCAAAGGGTAAATTATCTTTATCCAGTGCCGCAATGATTTCTGACCCAAAATGATTGGGCTTATGCCTCTGTTTTATGGAGAGGTCTATAGAAAAGAAAAGATGAAAAGATGGTTCGAAATAAGGTAGCAGATCCTGGGCATATCTTAGATCCTCAGCATACAATCCAAGTCTATACTCATAGTAGCCCAGTGTCAGGACTCAAGCTAGAGATGACATGCTCACGCCAGTAATCAACGCCAGCAATCATCGCGCCAGGCCCAGCCAGTCCAAGAACACCAAGTGAGGTTAAGCCTCCCGTGACAGCCTGCTTTGTCCTCACAAAGCCGAGTGAGCGTAGTTCCCAGACAGCGTACAAAGAGTAGGCCAGGGACGACGCGGCGCTAATTGTCCCTGTATTTGAACCGAAAGGGGCCACTTGCGATATGGCCGACAAGGTCCAGTCGGTGGTTGATACAGTTTTGGCAACGACGGGAGCAGCCAAACAGAGAGCAAGCGCGATACCATGGGAGAACTTCAGGGGCGTTACATCCTCATTCGTATACACTTGAAGCTCGGATGGGGGAGCATAGTTGATGGGCCTGTCTTCAACCTTCGTGTCGGCTTTCTGTTGTCCATTGTTGGCCGTCTTGGAACAGATAGCTAAGTTCTGTCCGCTGGATTAAGCTCTTAGCCACAAGTCTTAACTACAAATAACACATCTAGCTCATAACTTAAACATTATACTAAATAACTAACTAATTACTATAGCTAAAGGCTAAAAAAAGGAAAACCTAGATTATAACTCTTTAGCTGCCCTTAAAGGTATATAAAATACTTTAATCTATTAGCTAAGAAAGGTTAGCTTAATACTATAAATACCCCTAATCTTTAAAATAGTAACTCCTATACTAATAAGAAAAATCTTTACTTAATATCCACCCCCCTAGATAGTAGCTATTAATAACTATACTAATAAGGCTATAGTTATACTATAAGCTACATTTTAGTATAGGGATACCTTTAAAATTATAAATAGCTATAAAGACCTTAAGAAATACTTTAAAAAAGCTATACTATTAATCTATATATAGAACTTTTATTAGCTTAGTAGTAAATTTTTTATTAACCTTACTTTCTTTAACTATAAGACTATTATCTATATAATAGCTTATAGTAAATTCCTTATAAGAGTTATTTAAATTACCTAGTAAAAGAAAAGTATACTATTTACCTTAAAGAAAATAAAAATAAAAAAGAAAGAAAAAAAGAAAAAGGCTATATAGCTATTATAGTAAAATCTAGCTTAGATTATATCTATATTTAAGGTATAGATAGTAATTTAGCTAAGAAGGACTTCTAGATATAGTATATAGCTATTAGATTTATTAAGAAATACTAATATATAAGAAAAGCTTAACCTAAAAAAAGTTTTATAATAATATATATATTAGTGTAATTAAGGAAGAAGGTTAGAAAGAAGGTTTAGGGCAATTAGAAGGTAGTAGCAGAGTTAAGTTTATAAGTCAGTTACAAGGTTAGAAAATACACTTCGGGTTTAACACAATGAACGGATAGCAGCAAGTCCTCTAGTGAAGACAGCACAAAGCAAAGGGTATGCCTGCCACACCGCCCCGACGTAGTGCCTAAGTTTGGAATCTCTGATCGGCAACAGTGCTGCCACCGTTGGTGCCACGTAGCCTAAGAGAACACCTGGAACGACGGACTTGGCCATCTTGGGGTCAACAGGTCTGTGGATGGTGGACTTGGTGGAGAAGAGGACAGACGACAGACAGAAGAACGGTAGCACTGAGCTCGGACCAATGAGTGAGTATATGAGGGAGTATACTGTTGTCCTGATTTATGTTAGTGACTGTGCAGAGATATCATGATCATAGAACGTACCATGACAATGGGTTTAGTGAGTTTCCACGCCGAGAGCCTTCGATGAGCCAGCTTGAGAGAACAGGGACTAAGCTGATTAGGCCCGCCGTCGAGGTCTGCCCAACTATCTTTCCCAAAAGGCCGCCAGCACCCCATTGCTGAAGAACGTTGTAGAGGACTCCCGTCCCAGATCCAATGTCCTTGTTCTTGAGGGCAGCAAAGAGCGACAGCCCAAGAGTGCCGGTTGCCAGAACCCACGGGACTCGCCTAGCTAGACCGCCCTTGATGGGCTTCGCAGGTAATTCGTCCTCAAATGGAACAAAGTGCGGTCGTTTTGGGACAGGAATGCCTTGGATCCTCGTAGCTTCGCAGCAGATCGGGGTGACAATGTCAATAAAAGCGTCTGGGCCAAAGAGAGAAACAAGAGGCTTGAAGATGAAGCGAGCGAATGGGAAACGCTGGCTGATCATCATCTGGAGCGAATGTGCTTGCTCGACTAGACTTTTAGCCCGCTCGTAGCGGAGGGCGTGGACCTCTGATAGTGCAGTGTCTATCTGAGAGACCGAAAGGCCTTCAGGGCTGAGTTTCAGTTGACGAACCAGGGCATTGACGAGGAGTGCTGCGGACTCCATGGCTCCATTGCCGCCTTGGCCAGATGCCGGATCAATCTATCCAACATATTAGTAATAGAAGAGCTTCCATGTGAGTTAACATACCTTGTGAGCCGAATCTCCTATCGTAACGATGCGCTTGTAATGCCAGCGATCGAAGACATACTCCTCAAGTGGAACTAACGTCGACATGATCTTCCGGTCATACAGCTCACCAAAAGTAACGTCTCGGGTGATATGATCGCCATGGTGCTCTTTCACGAGTCCCTCTTCATCGGCCTTGGTGTATTTAGAAATGTCCTTCCCACGCATTGTCTTCGGAAGACCGTCGAACAGAAACCAATACGTTCGGTCTCCTGGTGCGGCTATAATTAGATACGCGTGGCCATCGCCAACTACCATCTGTTGGCTTCGGTAACCCAGAGCAGAGGGTCGTTTCGAGATTCCAAAGATGCATCTCGTCGAGACTGGGACGCCTATAGGAAATGTGAGCGAGATAATTACGGCATGTAGTGAAACGTACGAGAGTTTTCGTCTTCGGGGAAGTATCCTGGACTCTGTTGCTTTCCAAGACGCCACATCTCATCTCTTACTACGCTATGGATGCCATCTGCTCCCACGATGATGTCGCCCTCGTATACAGAGCCGTCTTGGGTGTAAGCCTGGACTCCGCCCTGGACCAATTCCACGCGAGTAACCCGCTTCTTGGTCAAAACTCGATCTTTGTGTTTCAGATTCTTGTACAGGACCTGCAACAACATCTGCCGATCGATGAAGATTGAGGGATAGCCGACCCTTGTCTCAGTCAGTAAATCCTTGCTGTGAGAACTTTGTTGAGCTTTTCGTGTTACCTCTTTTCAAAGTGGACTGACAGACTGGTCGATGAAGTAGCGGCAAGTGGGAGGCCATCGGGCCCATACATGCCCCCAATAGTGTAGCGACAATCCCCAGCAATGTCGAGAATAGGCTCGAAACATCCAAGCTGATCAAGGATGCGGAAGCCGTTGGGCAGGATGCCAATGCTGGCACCGACTTGAGGGGCTATCTGAGGATAGGCTTCAAGAAGGACATAGTCTATGTCGAATTGCTCAAGCATGTTGGCAACGGACAGCCCAGCGACGCTGCCACCGGCGATGATGACTCTGAATCCCATGGTTATGATTTGTGGAGGTGTAGTTCTTAGGTGATTTTACTGCTGAACTTGAAACGGCATGAGATCATTATATATATGCGTAATGATAGAGACGCAGAGGCCTCGTCAATGGGGTTTCGGGCTTGATCGTATCCGTTGCCCGAAAAAGGAGCGACATTAGACTAACAAGAGTCCGAGCTTCAAACTACCCCTGTCCTGTTAAAGATAATTACACGCAACGTTGTTTCCACTCTACCTTACTAAGCGGAGCTGTCAACAGAAGCATCAAATTACAAGTATTCGGGCTCTCGAAAACGTGCTGAGAAATGATCCCCTATAACCGTATCAGCCTCCTCAAAACTGTCTACGAGCGCTACCGTATGAGCAGCCCTTTCGTCACGCTTTAGTCTCGGGTCGCCGCGCTCGAAATAGCCATACCTTACATTGTACAGACAAGCAACAAGTGCCGGCGCTTGTGCTACACTAGCTTCATCCCGGACTAGGCTGCTCGAGCAACACCAGGGATCCGAGCTGTCTCTCCTTGATGCCGATTTGTTGATGTATGTTCAGGGCGATGCATGAGGGCTCACAGATTGTGATACGTCACCAGTTATATGCACTAAACAGGTTCATTCTCTAGAACAAATATGCAAGGCCTAGCTACATCTCATTGACTTGACTTCTTAACGATGGTATCTCATTCATAATGAAGCATACAGTCAATGATAGAATCTGTATATCTCACTGTGTAGCTAAAATATTGGCAACTTTGTCCCACATAACATCTGCCCATTATCTACAAAGAAATCTTAACTGCTCCAATCTGTACAAGGATTTCAAATAGATCAGGTAGCCCCTGCTCTTCAATAATCTTCCCCTCCGGGAACGTGAAGAGGTTCGTCTCAACTATTTCAAAGCTTTTCCCAGAGGGCGGGAATCCCATAAAAAGACCAGTCTCGGTGCCGCTGGTTTTGGAGCACAGCACCACTTTGTCTCCTTCTGTGATTGTCTGCTCGACGCTCCGTCGAATATATGGAAAGGCGGTGCGCATCATGCCTAGCATTTCTAGATATCCGCCGACGCCCTTCGATAGTCATTTGGGCTGATTCGTGGATGACTCCTTCGCCAATAGTGGCGTTAGCTGAGTTGATGAACTTGACGAATCAATGAATGGCTTCTGAGTGAGATATGTCGCAGAGCTTGGCTAGGAAGAATGTATAGAGAATCTTTCTTTTATGTGTTGTTTAACTAGTTGAAGGATTTTGTAGCCACTCGTTATCTAATCGGTGATCTTCTATAATGGCCTAGAACTCTATTTGAAGCAGCATCTGCAGAAGCGGTATCCATCTTGGGATGGTGACTTAGCGGGCTCTGTAGTCGGCACGGTCTCGGGGTCACGTCGTTCAAACGGGACTAGCAAGACACCCTACTCCGTAATTTACCGAGGTTTGAAGCTAACTTGATATGTTCTGAACACTTTTCGCGCGATAATTTGTATTTTTTCCACTGAGGAACTCTATTAATAACTCCCGACGCTTGCGAGTCTGCCTCCCTTACACTTTCACCCTAACCTGAGCTTGCTTGAGCTTTGAAAGGTTTGTAGGGGGGCGAGGTGAAGAGCCCCGGAGGCTGCCTAGATGTTGAGTTGGTCTATAGTAAAGACCAACAAACAAGGTCCTGGGAAGCGTTCCCCGTCTAATAGCTTCTTTCAAGGGCAGAGCAGTCACAATTACTGGTTCTAGCACTTTGGCTTTAAAACGACCGGATACATCATCAAGCTCGACGCTGCCAGGCTAATCATAGCAGTGCGCTCCACTGAAATGAAGCCACCAAAGGGGTCCTTACAGTGTCTACTGTCTACCAGCCGTTGTCCGGCCCTTTTGAAAGTTTGGCATTAGGTTTAGCCAGCTATGCCAGCGTCGGGACATTTGCCCTATACGCCCTATACCCGTTAGGTCGAGCCGGGGGGGGGGGGCCAACTAAGCTTGCTTAGTTGGGCACAAAGCCCCAAGATATGTATAAAACCTGGGACAGAAGGTCCTGATAAGATAAGATATAAAAATATAAAAATATATTTATAAAATAGTAAATAAAATAATTAAAAATTCTAGAAAATTATCTTTATATATTATAAGCTATATAGAAGAATAAATTTTTT